ACCCTGACGTCTGGCTACCTCCTAGGGATAGATCACTGATCTAAGCTGTACAAGTTTTTGAAACTTGAATGGAGAGAGCAGAGCTTGGAGATGGTTGAAGCTGTTACCTTAATGGTAGTGCCCATAAAGCCCAGCTACTGAGGCCCCTAGAGCTAGCTGCCCAGGTTCCTGCCCTTTCTAAGGCCCTGTTTGGTTACTCCATCTCTGGTTCTGAAAGCTAGAGCAGAGTCCTTCCAATCTATCTCCCTATTTACTGAAGCTAGCCACAATCATTCTCTGTTGCTTTCAACAAAATAACTTCAATTAAAAACCAAATCAGAAGTGATCCTTCTAGGAAATAAAAATTGCCAATGGACTAAGGATTTGCTGGTGATAGGGGAGGGGAGGTCTCCAGTCATAAGGGAAATAACATAGGTGGTTAACTGGCTAATTTATAGACTAACATAGCAAACTCGTGCCCCATAAGCAGGCACTTTACCCTGAAGGAGCTTCTTCTTGCTTGTTAGAGGCATGGAGTTATTTTGCTACGGGGTGTGTTGGGGATAGGATGGGGTTGTGTGTGTAGCCCAGGGTTCCTCTCACATTCTCCTGGTCTGTATTCAGCTGCAAAACCTCCCTGGTCTGAGAAGATTGGAAGGAGGAAGCTAGAGGAGGCTGTGGCCTGGAGCTGGGGACTGGAGCCCAGGGGACTCCCTGTGAGAAAAAAAGATGTGTATAAAGGAAGAGAGAAGGGAGCAACCCAGGAAGCTCCCTTTTGGGGAACGAGCCAGGTGGATCAAGATTCCTCCACAATACCTAGCTAAAGCTTGTCCCCGCATCAGGACCCGAAATTACTGCAACGTACGGGGAGATTAACGAAGAGGGGACGGGGAGAGGCGCGGGGACGGGGAGAGGCGCCTTAATGCTAGTCGGGCTCTGGCTGCGTCCCTGCAGGTGGGAAGGTAGGTACTCTGTTTGCCCAACCGTCCATTTCTACCCAGTGCGAAACTGAGCCACACTTAACAGAGTTCAAGAAACGTTTCCTAAACTGTTGGGCGCAAGGGCGGAGAGAGGGAGAAGAGGACGGCGTGGGAGGAGGAGCCAATAGCCTCTGAAGCGGCTGAAAAAATCCAGGCTCGGGACCCAGGAGGAGAGGCCTCGCGTGAGTCCTCGAAAACCTCGCGGATTTCCGGGTAGGAAGTCAAAGGGCGGGCGCTGGGGAGGTCGTGGAATTTGAAACTGGAAAGGAGGGAGGAGATTTGGCGGATTTAGCAGTTCAGAACCGAAGTCAGCGAAGAAGCAGATCTGAGATGCAGGATCCAAGATCAGACCAGGAAGGTGAGCCGGACTCGCGGCCCGTGGCACTAAAGCTGTTGCCCGGGAAACGGGAAGGAGGCGGAGCCGAACCTAGCTTTGACTGACAGGGGCTACAGCAGGGGCAGAACTCTACTTCTGACTGGCTACGGCCCAGAGGGGCGTGGTTTACCTATGATTGATAGAATCAGGGGCGGGGCTTGAAACTGACCGGCTTCACTCACAGGAAATGGGGCTTGGCTTACACCCGTAGGGTACCCGCCCTGGTGGGACTAGGCTAGCGCCTGACTGGCATAACCCCGCAGGGCCTGAGCTGAATCTGGCCCTAACCACCTGTCCTTAGGATGCCGGCCTCATTAGTCCCAGTGACCTGGGAAAGAAGCAGGATATGCCCACTTGGTCCCCTCCCTATGGCCAGGCTAAACCAGGGCCTCAGACCCAAGCCATTTTTTCCTTTATGGGCAGGGAGAGAGGAAGGGTTGTGGTCTTTCTGGCCTTCATAATAGGCAGGATGGTGGCTCCGGAGCAGATGAGACCAGGCAAGGGGAAGAAGACTGGGGAGGAAAAGCCAAGGACACCAACACCGGCTCCCAGAGAAGGTTCCTGGAGTCTGAGCTCTGGGAGGAAGAGGGGAGACTCACCCAAGAACGGGGAAGAGTACTTTCCAGTGAGGAACATGCTGCCTCTGCCCAAATGCTGATTTCTGAGGAAAATTCCGAGTATGTGGAGGCAGTTTGGAAAGTGTACCTGGCTAGGATTTGTCCCTAGAGAGCCGGTCAAGTGCCCTGTAACTAACTCTTTTTTGACATTTTTGAGAACCTGGTGTGCAATTAGGAAGGGGAGATGGCGGGAAAGCCTAACCCGCCCGCTGGTGCCCTGGCCAGTCTTCTCTCTGATATGGTTTAGTGTTATCTGCTGAGCATAGATAATTCTGTTATAAAAATGTTCTTAATGGTTTTGTTTTGCAGAGATTCTTACACCTCACTCCCCAGATGGGTTTACCTTACATAGATTTTCCAAAGTACAAGGCCACTTTTCAAAGGGGTTACCAAAGGCCAAAAGCTGTAATTGCAGAAAGAGCTTCAAGAGTTAACCCAGGACTCGAGTGGTCTTGGTGGGAGGCACAGGTCTGATTGTCAGGACAGGATGGAATTGAAACCGTTTATCTAAATGTTGTCCCATATTTAATTAAGAATGGGAATTTTTGCTTATATGCCAGCTATAATACTCTCAAGCTTGGAAAGTCCTCAGTGGCTTTAGTAAAAGGTTTGTGTATATGTATCCTTGTGGATCTGTTTTGCTGGTCTGTAAACCAACAACCTAGGGAGGAAATGCCCTGGAATGTCAAAAGGACCAGGAAAATGACCTCAAGTTTGGCTGGTGGCTGGCAGGTGAGAGGAAACATAGCGTGGTGGCTTCAGAATCACACAGACCTTGGCTTGAATCTCAACCCCACCACCTCCTAGTTGTGTAGCTGCAGGCAACTTTCTTAATGTCTCTAAGCCTGTGTCTTTGCTAAGAATGGGCATAACATGTCTGGCCTCACAGGAGTGGTTGTAAAAATCAAAAGAGATAATGACTTGAAGCCCTTGGCTTCATTGAGCCTGGCTCCACGCAGTAGGACTCAATGAACAGTAGCTGGTGTTCAGCCCTGCTTCCCGTATAAGTAAACTTCTACTTACCTCTAGAGCAGTGACCCCAGGCCAAGGTTCACTTCAGGCTGCTGTGGGGACCATTCAGCCCTAAAGATTTCTCGCCATCACCTAGTGTGAGAGCTTTGGGCTGAAAAAAGGAAAATGGGGGATAATTTCCCTGTAGGAAGTGAAGAATGGATTTTATTATAGATTCATGCTTATTTTCTTGAATCTACCAGTGCTAATACTTAGGGTAAGAGTGACAACTATAAACTGTTTAATAGTAGCTCTTACAAACCATATATAGGAAAAACTTTTGGCTTCATATTCCTCAGGGAAAAAAGGAGGTTACATAAGTAGGGAGGGAATGAAGAGCCCTGGGTTGTGGGAAGGGGTGTTAACTGGCAAGTGGTCCCTGCTAGGCCTGTTCCCATGGCAAACTGATGGGGGCGTGGAAGGGTGTGGAGGGTGTGCTGCTGCCCTGACAGCTTCTGTCTGATGGAGCTCGGTAGCCCTTAGCCCTCTCGCCTCCCTCTCTCCAGAGGCCTTCCTGGGGAGCAGAGGTCACCAACCCATGCCCAGTGCCTGGAAACCAGCCACCCCAGAGCTTGAATTTGTGCGTAGGTATGTGATCAGCCCACTAACAAAGAGGGAAATGAAGGCAGGACTCCATGGGCTGAGGGAATAGAAGATGGAAGCCTTCACTGACATCCCCCACCAACCGCGCGTACATACTCAGGTGCCAATGGGGACTGATTGTCTAATCTCAGAGCGCCCTCTGCTGGGGAATGACACTCCCTACAGAAGAGGGAGAAGAGACTAATGGATCAAGGGAAGATCAAGTAGGTGATCAAGAAGTAGACAAGTTTGCGGTTTATTGAGTAACCATGGCATCATAGCTGTTATCACTGGTGGTGATTGATTGAGGGGAGCAGGAAAGTGCTCTCAGAGGATCCCACCAGGGCCCTTTCATCTTCAGGCAGAGGCCATGGGAGCTGGAGTTGAGATCTAACAACATTGTGAATTTTTATCACCACCCATCACATCCCCAAGCCCATCTTCCATGTGGACTAGCCATTGGTGCCTGGGCCCTTCCTCTTTTGGGGGGTGGGATTGGAGGTGGGGGCAGGACCAACCTCTAGCAAGAGAAGGTATTATGGTGGGGGTTTTGCTGAATGTCTATCAAGGGTGAATGAAACACAAAATTCCCTGTCTTAAGATTGTACACTCGGGGCCTAGTTGCCCTTGAAGGTGTCCTGGTCACACCCACCGAGCTACCTGTGGAGTTTAAGCACCATGCCCACAGTGTGCCCCTCTGTGAGAGGACAGTGTGGGAGGTCTAAAAGGCAGATCTTGCTCTGCCTCTGTGGGTTTTGGTTGGGGGATGGGGTTGAGATTGTAGGATTTAGATTTGAGGTCATGTCAGAGCAGACCAAGAACTCCTAAGACTGCCTGCAGATGCCCACATTGCAGTGTGGGGAGAGGCTGAGACAGCAAGGGCTGCATGGGATACTGACGCTCCTTTGTTCTGGAAGGGAAGCAGAGGAAATAGAGCTATTGCAGGATTGGGGGACGGCACCGAGGAATGCATTAGCCCCCTGCCTCCCTTATCCCGACATGTCTTCCTCTGCCAGCCCAGTTCCTGAGTCCGTTTTGGGAGCCAGATGTCAGAAACCTGGAGGATTCAGCCCAGTTTGGCCTGCTAGTGTCCCTCAGTCTCTGTCCTGAGATCCTGGGACTCCTCCTATGTTCAGAAGGGATGAGGTGCTGTCTGGTGGAAGAGTTCAGGGAATGTAGCTCCACCTGTAGCCTGACTGGCTGGCAGATGTGCAGGAAGCCAGATATCAGAACATTCCAGAAACAGCATGTCTGTTGCTAGCTTTCAAGAGCACATACACAATGTATGCATACACACACATATCACATATGTATATGTCTGGACATTCAAACACAGGAGAGAGGGATTATGTGACCCTGTTCTTTGAAACCAGAGGAGAGGAAAAGGCTTATAGTGGTACCCACCCCCCCCAGACTAATGGATTGCTGGCTCAGTGGCTGTCTGCCCACCAAGCCCCCTGCCTGGTACCAGGTGGTAGGCGAGTGGCAGGGATCACAAGGTTCCGCTGAAGCAACAGCCCAAGGAGGTGAGGGAGGAGACAGGCTGACCCTCCCTCAAAGCCCTTTGTTGTAGTAAACCACTTCGATGCTGGGGTTTTGCTCGTGGATCTGAGCTTTCAGCTCCGGCTCCAGCCTGCTCACGTGTATGGAGCTGCAATAGAACAGCACAGGTCAGCTGAATGTCCCCTGAACCCAACCCCTCTCCGAGCCAGGAACCACCATACCTCCTCCTCCCAGGGGTAAGCATCCTCTCCTCCTACTGCCAAAAGGACTGGCTCACCATCATCCCTCTGCCCCCCAAATCAGCTGAGTGCCTGCCAGACCTGCTCCTGGAACACACTGCAGGACTCTAAAGTTGGTTACTAGAGACACATTCCTATCCAGCGCCCCCAGTCAAGCCCGGGGGCAGCACTTACCTCCTCTGGGGGAAGAGGGCACAGCACAGAGGGGTGGCGAACACCAGGCTGGGGGAGAAGAGCATTGGAAAGGTTTGTAAAGCTTTGGTATAACACCCTTTGGTATAACACCCATAACACCCTTATGGGTGTTCACTCCCCGTACCCCACGTCATCCTTGGAGATAGCCCCTAGTGGTGGAGATTTATTAAAGCCAAAAAGACCTTTTAGGAACATAAAACCCAACTTGACATTAGATTCTGGCTGAGGGAAGAACCTTCAGAGCAGTGATCCAAAGCCCCACAGCCAGGAAGTGGCAGAATCAGGAATTAAATGGGCATGAAGCTCTTGGATGATATCAAAAGGTGTATTTCCATGGTTTCCTCTTGTAGACGAAGACTGGAACCCCCTCAACTAAGCTCTTGACCTTCAAGAACAGGAACCACCCCATAATACACAGTACGTCCTACAGGTGTAGGACACACACACCAGCTGAATATGTGAATGAATGATGTCTGTAAACATCTTAGAGGCCATGAATACCCACCCACATCCACCATGAGCTCCCTGCACACTTACCAGAAGCCCACCAGTCCCACCTGCAGGGGCGCCCCCAGCCAGGGGCGGCGCTGTGGGGAGACAGAGAGACCATGAATGGCTTGCGTGCTCTGCCTCGCTAACCCTCACCCCATCTCACCCACCACAGCTCTCCCCCATCGGCCCTGCCTTTGACCCGCAGGACTTGTGGCCCTTTTCCTTCTCCCTTGTCTGCGGCCGCCCCGCCCTGACCGCGCCGGATCCCGTCCGCCCTCCTTTTCCTTCTCCCAAGCTTGTGATAGATTGCAGCCAGACTGCAGCCTTCCACTCCAGCCAGGCCTGCGTGCTGACACCCTCCCTGGCATCCCACCACCCATTCTCACCCTTCAGAATTGCTTCCCAGGGCACTCCCTGGCCCACTTTCTCTTCCCTCACTTCCTCCAGAGGCCGCTTTCTACAGGGAACTTCCTCTGAGCCTCTACTCACTGTCTCCCATCCTAGTGGCAAGAAACTGTCCCTTTCCAAACACATCTCCAGCCCAGCACACCCTTCTCGATTCACTCTAGCCACAGGGACCACCATTCTGTTCCTCAAATGTGCAAGCCTGTTCCTGCCTCAGGGCCTTTGCACTGGCTGTTCTCACTACCTGAAACATTCCTCTCCGTGCTCTTCGCCCAGCTATTTCCTTCCCATCCTTTTGGTCTTCCGAAGGCCCCTTCTCCCAGCACCCTGTCTAAACAGCTCTCCCCCATTAGTCTCGTTAGTCTGGATTACCATGTCCCGTGTTCCGTTGGTTTCCTACAAAGCACATAGTACAACTTGTGATACATTTATTGGCTGCCTCCTTGTTTATTGGTTTCTGCACTAAACTGTAAACTTCCTGAGGACAGGGACTATGACCATCTTGTTCAGTGCTGTCTTCTCAGCCCTAAAACATACCTGGCGCATAGTTGGTGATCAATAAATATTTGTGAATAAATGATCCTGTGAATGCACCAGAGCTTGTATTCCTGTGCCTTCCTTCCCTGTCCTGTGCATGCCTGTGTGTGTGTGTGCCTGTGTGTGTTAGGGGTACTGGGGAGTGACAGATGAGTGTGATATCAAGCGTGACTATGACAGTCCATTCCTGTATGTGCCAGAAGCCTCCAGAGTGACACAAGTTTCCTTCATTTCCTTCCTTCCCTCATCTCCTCCTGCTCTCTCTGCATTCCTTCACCCCAGCCCAATTCACTTCTGCTGAATGAATGAGGGTGGAAGGGACAGTGCAGGGCTCAGGAGAATGGGTGGCAGGTTTTGGACCAAGGCCAGGCTGGAGAGAGGGTTGGGGACTGGTCACTTCTCCCAGCCACCACCATTTCCAGGATGGGGGAGGCGAGAGTGGCCTACCTTCAGGAAGTCTTTCTTCTCCAGGGAGTCCATGATCACCGGGGGGATGGCTGAGGGAGGGCAGGGTGGGGACGGAGGAGGGGATTAGTGGAGTCAAAGCTAGGGAACCCTAAGGAAGGGGGTCCCCTTCACAGCTCCTCCCGCTCTCCCCAGAGTCTTACTGCGCCCAGAGTAACAGCCCCCAAGAACAGCACCCCCCTTCTCTCAGAGCCTCCCATGCCCCACCCAGCTGCCCCTGCCTTACCCATGGCAGGAATCGCCATGCAGATTCTCGATATCACCACCTGGAAGATTCCCTGTTTGGCCGCGGTCACCGAGTGGCCAAGCCTCTGACCTGTCTCGTCAGTCACCGGGATGCCCACCTGCAGCTCCCTGGGAAAGGGGTTGGGGTCAGATCACAGGCCTCAAGTGCCACCTGCAGTGCTCCGATGGGCAGCTACTCCCTGGAGTTCCCGCACACATCCTAGACTCAAAGGCTGGTTCTCTCCCAACCCTGGAAGATCCCAGTGTCAGACTGAGACAGGCCGCCAGCTTGTGTCCAGGGAGGGAGAGGAGTGTCCCCAGTCTGGGCTGGTCTGCATGGCTGGATGGTGTGCCACATGCACACGGGGCATGCACGTGCCAGGAGCTGGGGCCACTCACCTCTGCCTCATCAAAGGGATATTGATGCAGTTGGCAGCTGCCACAGCTGCAAAGGGCACAAATCTGCCAACCAGCGGGGGCAGGTGCTGGGGAGGAAAGGTTTTGTTCAGTGGCCCTGAGGACCAGGGGGAGGTTAGGGACTCTGGGGAGAGATGTGGGGAGCCCATAGGTCAGGACTGGAGAGGTGATGGGAAGAAGGAGATGGATAAAGGGTGAATGAGGGGCGATGGAGTGGGGAGCCTTACCTCGGTGAGGGATTTGAGTCCCAGGGCCGTGGCCACAGCCCCTGTGGTGGCACTCACATAGGCTGTTCCCAACTGCCTGTGGGTGGAAGAGCCGGGTCACCAGAGGGAGGTGAAGAGTCCAGCACGTAGCTATTTCCTTTAGGGACATGCCAAATCCTCAATGCACGAGGCATAGGAGGAGGGCCTCGATGCAGAGAAAGCCCTCCCCCCAGCTCTAGCGCAATCTTGTCTGGAATCCCCAGTCCTGTCCTTTGAAGAGGGGCGGGTGCCCCAAAACATACATACGAGGACCTCCTGCTCTCAGGCAGGGGAAGTAGGGAGGGGGCGGGCTGATGAGAGCGGAGCCCCTGGCTGCACGGGCCACAGGGAGCAGGTGCAAAAAGCAGAGAGCAATGGTGGGCTGGCAGGGAGGGTCCCACACGGTGCTGCAGCGCCTCCCGGGGACCAGCTCTCTCTCACCCCACAGTGATGGGAGCATCGCCACTGCGGTTGGAGTAGTTAACGACGGCATTGAAGGATTGGTTCACCCACTGCCAGAACACCACGGTCGGGGTCTTCCTGAGGGAACAAAGACACTTATTTCTGCCCCCTCAACACTGTCCCTCATCCTTGGACCCCTATAATGAAACTCCAGAGGTTATTCCCACACCCCAAGAAGGGACCCAGTTGATGACCCTAGAACTTGCTCTGGTAACCCCTGCACACCCACCCACCCACACACTTATACAAACACACCTACCGTCTCTAGGGTGCAAGGACCCTGAGGCTGAGTTCTGAGGAGTGGAAGGGATTCTAACACTCTTCCCACCCACTCCCACCAACCTGGCTCCCACCCACTCTTCTCTGCCCTAATTGGCCCAGAGAGGAGGTACCTAGTCACCAAGCCATGCTCTAGCCTAGAGCCCTCAGGAAGGGGATATGGGGCAAGACCTGCCTGTAGAAGGTGAGCATGCAGCCAGTGATGGTCATGTTCATGGGCACCTGGGCTGACATGCGGCCAATCAGGACCACCTTCTCCCCTGTGTCCGGATGGAAGGCAGAGTCGTACACATACTTGGCCCTCCACAGCTGGTCCTCGGTGAGCCCTGGGGTCACCACACCAGCCCTGCAGAAGTTGCCAAGGAGCAGACAGGCTATGGTGAGTTGTATGATTATTTCATCATATATTACAATGTAATAATAATAGAAATAAAGTGCACAATAAATGTAATGTGCTTGAATCATCCCAAAACCATCCCTCCCCCATCCATGGAAAAATTGTCTTCCATGAAAATGGTCCTTGGTGCCAAAAAGGTTGGGGACTGCTGCTGTGGAGTGTGTGTGAGGCATAGAACAGCCCCCCGCCCATAAATATCTATGCCACCTCCTCAACTCAAACACTCTAAAATCCTGTGGGTTAAAGCACTGTGCCATAGTTGTCCATGATGCCAGCAGAGAGAAGGGGGTTGAGGATTGGGACAGGGTCCCTCTCAACCTTGAAAAGGAAGGCACAATACGTACTGTATCAATGGCAGGGAATGAGACCCTGGAGTACAGGGTCAGATGGGAGCGGGCATTACCTGTAGTTCTGCACGATATTCCGAGATGCTTCCAGCTGTGCCCCAGACAGCAGCAGATTTCGGGGATCAGTAACAGTGAAGAAGTGCCGGGCTCTGCCCAGGAATGTGCTTTGGTCCCAGCGAGGTTCCTGGATGTTGATATCCAAGGGCAATTCACCCATTTTCTGCAGGGCAGGGATGAGGGTCAGAGGGCTCCAAGGGCCAGGTCCTAGGGCTCCACCTGGGGGAAACTTTGGTGGCCCTGCCCTGTTCCTTGAGCCTATCACCAGTCCCTTCAACAGCTCAAGGTGACTCCAGATAGGTAAGCAAGGGATGGGGAGGAGCTGTTTCCTAGGCAATGTCCCAGACTAAGGACCTGAAGCCACAGGAGGAGGAGGAAGGGAAGACCAGAACCAGAAAAACAGATCTCCCTGGGCTCTGGCTTGGTGTAGATTTTCATGAGTGAGTATTTACATGTGTTTGATGCATGAGCAGCAGCTACCTCCTGTGCAGCTACTCCCGTGCTGCAGATGCACAAAAAAATATAATATCTGCTTGACATATCCATGCTCATGTCAGCTTTAGGCCCCAGCTGCCCTGAGACCTAGATACAAACCCCCAAGGCTGTTTGGGAAGATTGCATAAGACATCCCACACTCCAGCCCGATTGGAGGGGAGCAAGGACTCATTGGCCACCTAGGGCTTATCTGTTCCAGATCTCAAACAGAGGACTCTGCTGTCAGCCATGTGTTGTGCACCTGGGCATGCACAAATCCCCTCTCCAGACCCATCTTCCCCAACCCACAATGAATGACCCCACGCTCTCCCTGTTCCAGGCTGCCCCTGTTCCCTGGCTGGCAGGGCTGGCACAGACACCATCCAGCCACCCACCTACAGAAAATAGCAGGATTCAGTGGACTCCCCTCCACCCAGCACAAAAGAAAGCCTGGAGCAGCCATCTGGCAGCAAAGGGCAAAATCCTACAGAATGACTAATCCTCTCCAACCACACTTCCTCCTGCACAGACAGACACATCCTCCTCTCTCACTCACACTCACATACCCACACACAAAGACACCGGCGAGCACGCCCTACCCAGATATACAAACAGGACCGACATGCTCTGTGTACACCGGCCCACAGGATCGATATACACACTCCGACCAGTTGCAGACACTTGAATGTGACCACACACAGCCCCACCCTGACATTCCTCCCCCCAACCAACCTCCCCTTGTGTCCCGTGGACCTCCATAGAGCCGCAGATACTGAAAGATACTGAATCCCACAGGATAGAGAATGCGTTTCAAGGCAGGTCTCCTCCTCCTAACCCCCAGCCCTTAACCCTCGACTCCCCTGACTCCCGAACGCGGCCGGCCGGGACAGCTAGCACTCACGCTTTCCCCAGCTCTCCGCAGCTCTCAGACCCGCCTTCCTCTTCGGGCGTCGCCACAGCCCTTCCAGCCATCACGCGGGACGTCACGCGTGACGCTGGCCAGCAGGGAGGGGCGGGGGCTTCCCTGCCACGCCTGCCCCGGGGAATCCGGGATTGGCAGAGCCTGGGGGCGGTGGGTGTCATTTGGAGCGACGCCCCCAGCCCGGGCCACAGGGACTACGCTGCCTCCCAGAGCCAATCGTAACGCGGGGATCAGTCCTGGCCCCCTCCACAGCCAGATAGAGGAGGGGAGTCCTTGCTCCCCCTTGGCTTGCAGTCCCCTGGGGGGCCTCGGGAGGCACCCGGCCCCTGCAGCAAGGGGTCCAGGTTCCCAGGGAGAAAATGCGCAGGACGCAGGGCGCAAGTGGGCGGTGTGGAGGGCGGTCCCCTGAAGGTGCGTCCCGAGGCACTCGGATTACTGACCGGCTTGTTTACTTGATGACTACCTTGGCAACGGCCTCTGCCTGCTTCGCCCCCTGGGCGCCTACCCCAGTACCCACAAGCTTCTCTTGCAGCACCGCGGCATTCGCATCCCTTCACAGCCCGGTTCCAGTAGTGCCTGTGCCCCGTTTATGTCCCCAGCCCTCTCCCTGATCCCCCTCTGTAACCCCCAGCTCCACTGTGCTCCCAACCCCTAGCCCTACACCACAGACCTGAACCCCACCCTTGGGATGTGGAAGGCAAGAGACTCCAGGAACGTCTGTCTGCATCCAAGCAATTGCATCAGAAGGGAATTCTTAGGACTCTTCCTCCCCTGGTGTCTGTCCTGTGGCCAGGGGCCCTGCATCCTTTCAGGAACTGGGTGGCCAGAGAGACACCTTGTGGTGTAGGAGGAGGATGCAAGTGAGAAAGGCAACTCTCGTCTACGCACACACGACTCACCCAGTCACCGTACAGAGCACGCCTGCCGCCAACTCAGGCTCGAGCCCCGTTCTGTCCCGGTGACATTCCCCCGCTGAAGCCTTAGGGATGACTGCGGAGGGGTGGCAATTCTAAGAGTCCCGGTAGCTGGCTTGGCCCGGAGAAGACGCGGTTCTAGAGGAAACGGGGCGAGCTGAGATCGAAGCCCTAAGTTGGAGCGATGGGGTGAGGCGTCAGAAGTAGAACTGGAGCGGGTAGGACCCAGCCGCTCCAAACCAGGTAAAGAGCCTGTCCCGGGAGTCCAAGGAAGGTGCTAGGAGGGAGTGATTGGCGGCCCCACCAACCAATAGGAGCCCGGGACTGCGCAGGCCGGCCCTACTCCCGCAGCCAGGCGGAGCGTGGGCGGGGTTCCCAGTCTGCGACAGTCGCTGGCTCCCGCGGGCGGGCGAGGCCGGCGGCCACTACACAAGCAAACAGGTGAGGGGGCCGAGTTTGAGAGGTGGGGGGGTCAGGAGAGCCGAGCTGGGGCTGGAGTGTTGCATTCTGGGTCCCAGAGCTGCTCTGAGGGACTTGGCCCCAGGTTTTGCGCGGGATGTTGTGCGACCCTCTCCAGCAGATCCTTCCCCTAAGCTTGGGAGAGGTTCACACAACCTCTTTAGACCGGGAACAGCGACCTGGGGCCCGGGAAATGTCTGGGGACCTTGGCTGCAGCTGTCTACGGTCCTGGAACCCTGCCCTTGAGGCCCAAGCCCCCCAGGGCTGGCCCCTTACCCGCATGCACAGGAGAGGGGGTGGAATTAACTGCCCTCGCCCCTCATTATCTCACCGTTTGAAGCCCCGGGTCCCGCAATAATCCCAGCCTCTACTGAGGACTGGGGACCGGAGTAGATGACTCAGCTGAGAACAGGAATGAGGCGTGAAGGAGAGGTTCCCACCCGCGTTGTATAAAGTCCACGAAAGTTCATGGAGGTCTCCGGCCTGCAGGGAGAAAGATGTGGGGGCTTAAGGCATGGCAGGGCAGGATGCTCACATGGGGGGTGGCGGAAGTTCTGGGGGGCAGTAGGGGCAGCATTTACACCCCTCCCCATCCCTGTCCTCCCCGCCCAGGCCTGGAGCGCACACTTCCAAGAAGCAGCGCGAGGGAGGGCTTCGCGTTACTGAGACCCCGGCTCTGCACAGGAGACTCATGGAGCTCAGAGCACGCAGGGCTGGCCTCTCCCGGGCTAGCAGGTCCCTCTTGGATCTTTAGGGCGCCGCCCCGGCCCAGCCACCATGGCACACGGTTTCGCAGTGGGCTTTGACCCACTGGGCCTAGGAGACCTAAGCTCCGGCTCTCTGAGCTCCCTCTCCTCCCGAGGCCACCTGGGCAGCGACTCCGGCTCCACCGCAACGCGATACCTGCTAAAGAGGCAGCAGCGGCTGCTGAATGGGCCCCCCCGCGGAATCCGAGCCTCGTCGCCCATGGGCCGTGTCATCCTCATCAACTCCCCCATCGAAGGTGGGGGCGGGGCCCAGCCACTGGCCTGGGACGAGGAGGTGGGAGCTGAGGACAGTGGGAGCTAAGTAGGAGGAGGCAGAGCCAATAGGGGTGGGGGAACTCAAGAGATGGGAGTGTAGGGAAGGTGGGGGGGCCTCTGGGAACCCATACACTCTTCCTCACCTACTCTTGCCTCTCCTCCAGGACAATCCTTTAGGGTTCCAGGATTGTAGAAGGGTCAGACGTCGCAGATAGGGGCATGGCAGCAGGGAAAGGCCTGTGTGTGGCATGCTAGCCCCCAAGTGAGCAAAGCAGGGTACTGAAATGGCCTCTCCCTCCCATGGGCTCTGCAAATTCATCTGTGTGGGCCTTTGGGGGTGGGGCAGGATGGAGGAGGACAGCCTCCATCAGCCAGTCCATTGTGCAACCAGCTCTGTGCTGGGCTGTGAGGAGTCAGTGCCGAGGCGGGCGGACAGAATTAAAGGTTTCAGGCACAGAAAGAGGGGAATGAGGGTAGAGAAGCAAATGTTTAGAAGAGGGAGGAGAACAGGGGGGCTGAGGGTGAGGGAGGAAGTCCCCGAGGGAAGGGGAAGATCTAAGCTTATGTAGTTGCTTGATGCCGCTTCGTGGCACACTGATTCTAACCCAGCCCTGGGAGGTCCTGCAGGGGATCTCAAGAGAAACAGGACTCATTTTTCACCTTCCACCAACATACAGTGTAGCAAGATTTAGAGTAACAAAACAGCTAGTGGTGGGATGGAGCTGTCGCCAACAAAGACTGGCAGTGGAAATCATGCAGCGTGGTAGGGTGGGCACTTAGGAGACAGCCTGGCTGCAGTGACAGATGTGAGGCAACAAAGAGCTGGTAAGCAAGATAGGACCTTGAATGTCAGGGGCGGAGCGGAGGCCCCCTGGGCCTGGGCTTTCTGTGGGCAGGACCAGATAAATATCTCCAGCTCATCTCTTCTTTCTCAGCCAGCATAGCACCTCTGGCTGGATCCCAGACTGGACTTTTCAGGCCCTGCTCCTGCCCTCGTCAGCTGGGTCACCAGCTGGGCAGCTCTGTTCCCCTCCCAAGGCCGCTGGGACAGGGGTGGGGTATGTTGCTCAGGGAGCAGGCTTTCCTCCACCTGTGGCCCAACCTGCTCACCCCTGTCACCCACCACTGTGAGCCTCACCCTCAGGTGAGCAGAAGGGCACTGCTCAGGGTCACCACCATCATTCTGATTAGGCAGCAGGAGTCCCCAGAGGAGCTAGGAAACATTGGGTGGGGGAGGGGAGGCAGGCACTGCAGCACTGCCCTTGTTAGTTCCACTCTATTGAAAGAACAGAACTACGCTGTACCCCCCAACACCCCCCACACCCATGTATGATGCAACACCTTTCTATACCGTCCCTCTAAAGATCCTCTTCTGGAAGTTCTATGATTTCTTTCTTCTTCTGCCTCACCCTGGTGCCACCATGCAGCCAGGGGGGCAGCATCTCCCAACAATCCAAGGACCACTTCACGGGAATAAAGTAGCTGATAAGGGAGAAACAGTGAGAAGGAGGACACTGCCACCCACATCAGTCCCAGGAAGTCCCACCAGCTCCTTAAACTCAACTGGTCCCAAAGAAAATTCATTACCTTTAATCCAAACCAGTCCTTTCTCCTCACTCTCCTAGTTCATTCATTCATTCATCTGTTTATTCTTTTGTTTATTCAAAAAATACTCATCAACTACCAAGCACCGTGCAACATACAGGGGAAGAGAATGACGAAGTCCCTACCGTGACTGAGCACACAGCCGCGTGAGAGGAGACATAATAAATAATGCACAGAGAAGCAAATAGTGACAAAAGACAGGAAGAATCCTGAAGGAATTCATTTGGACAATATGATAGAATCGTGGTTCTCAAACCTTAGATGCATCACAAGTGCCTGGAAAGCCTGTTAAGAGACAGATTGATGGCTGGGCTCGCTCCCAGAGCTTCTGGTTCAGTGGGTCTGTGGGAAAGCTCAGGGAATTCACATTTTTAACAAGTTCTCAGGTGCCGCTGCTGGTCTGGGCACCATGCTTTGAGAATCACTATAATAGGGGATTACTGGAAGGAAGGGAGGGGAACCCAGGAAGGTGTCTCTGAGAAAGTGGCGTCTGAGCCAGGAGGGGAGCGAGGAAAAGGAACTGGCCTTGCAGAGGTCTGAGCAGGGGACTGCAGGCAGAGGGAGCAGGAAGGAGGTCAGTGTGGCCAGAGCTCAGCGAGGGAGGGGAGAGTGGCTGGAGGTGAGGGCGAAGGGCTGGGCTGAGGGGAGCCCATGGCGAGCCCCACAGAGCACGGCGAGGGGTTTGCGGTTCCTCTAGGAGCAGGAGCAGGAGCAGGAGCAGACGTGGAACTTTTCAATCAGGGGAAAGGCATGACCTAATATGAAAGCTGCTCTGGCTGCTGCATAGAGTAGATAAAGCGGCAAGAGCAAAAATCAGGAGATCATTAGGGGGGTGCCGGGGGTGCCTGCGGGGAGAGGCCGTGGGCTGGGCTGGGCTGGGACAGCGGAGGTAGAGAAGGTACCATCCTCACAGGACCTGAGCTCCTGGACTCAAAGCCTCAAACTGGGCATCACCGCCCCCACCCCCCAGGCCACAGAAAGGGCCCGAGGGGAAAGGGGGTTTGGGTCGAGAGAGCAAAAGGCTCCTTGGCTGAGGCTGAAAAGGTCCTGACACCTGTGTAGATACAATCAGCTGGGGAGCCCCAGGCTCCCTCAGTCTGTCCTGTGTGCCCCTGGCCGCAGGCCGCCCTTGGGGATTTCCTTCCTAGCTGCCCCAGCCTTGCGCTGTAACCTGATTTCTCTTAGATCAAATTGAAGCGTGGTGTGTGTGCATGTGAGTGTGCGTGTGCGTGCGTGTGTGTGTGTGTGTGTGTGTGTGTGTGTGTGTGTGTGTGTGATTTCTCCCTCTCAAACACCTCTAGAGTAACTCTTGCCCGGGAAGAAATCTCAGCTTCTCACCTGGGACCCAACTTACCCCTCCGGCCTCCTCACACTGCTCTACCCAGAAGGCCTCTTTGAGGGCCGGCACCTGGGCCTGGCTCCCTCCATCCCCTCATCAGTGCCCTCCCCTTCCCCTCCACCCACAAAATCCCACCCATCTCAGTCCCCTAAGAAGTCTTCTGGGCACCTCCAGCCCCTAGGGACCCCGTCCCCCTCTACTTTCCCCAGGACCAACAGAGAGGGTTGCCCCGGGATCTGGGCACATGCTGCAGCTGTCATTGTGGGTTTCTCTCCCCGTACAGCCAGGTCATTCCTAGAGTCCTTACCTCCAGAGTCACAGAGACTAAAGATGGAAGGGGCCTCAGGGATCCTTCCATAACATCCCAGACAGGGATTTACCAGGTCTCATCTTGCATGCCTCTAAAGATGGGAAGCTCACTATCCCAGAAAACCCATTCCACTGCCTGACAGCTGAATGTTTTACAAAGTTTTTCCTTACAAAATCTGCCTCTGTCTAATTCTACTATGTAGGCTTGCTGCTGCCCTCTGGGTTACAGAGACAAAAACATCTAATGCCTTCCATAGGATAGCTCTACAACTATTTGAAGACAGAGTTAATATACTCGTTTCTGCTGCAAGCTGAAGAGCCCAGACTCCCTCAACTGTGCCCACATAGAACAGAATCTAGAACCTTCTTTTTCTGTCCATCTGACCCTAAGAGTGCTGGAATTTTTAGGAATTTGGCTTACCCTGGTCTGTGGGCATGTGAAGCTTGGTAAGCATTGATACACACATACCTGTATATTAGGAGTCCTGTCCTGCCGTTCTCTCGCTGCTCCCACACCCTCCCACATGGTCTCAAAGTCACCCAGAGGGGACTTAGAAATTGGCTGCCCTCTGACCCATTTAGGGCCCTAGGTGCCTGTGTGGCTGTGCCCAGCAACCCAGATTGTGCAGGCCGCAAGTTGGGGAACCCAAGGGGCCCTCTGTGCCAGAATGAACACGGGGTTGTGCCTATGTCCCCATCCCCACAGCCAACAGTGACGAAAGTGACATCATCCACGCAGTCTGGGTAGAGAAGAGTCCAGCGGGGAGGCTGGGTTTCAGCGTGCGTGGGGGCTCGGAGCACGGCCTGGGCATCTTCGTCAGCAAAGTGGAGGAGGGGAGCAGCGCAGGTGAGCGGGGCCCCGAGGGTGAGGTCCTGGCTTGGGACGTGACACCTACGCCAGTGAGGGGCAAAGGGTGCCGCTGTCAGGGGTCGGGGGAAAGAGTCTTCAGCTCTGGAGGGCATGATGGGGAGACAGGGCCCACCCTTAGGGCAGAGGGGATTAAGGGACAGACCCCTGGGCTAATAGGGGACACTAGACCCTGCTCTGGGGAGCCCCACTCTGATTGAGGAAGCTCAGTTTTACCCCAGGGAGCCCCATCTGATGGGGGAGGCTCAGTGCGACCCTGGGGACCCTTTCCCCAAGTGCCCCATGCCATCCACCCCCGTCCCCTGGTGCAGAGCGGGCTGGCCTGTGCGTGGGGGACAAGATCACGGAGGTGAATGGGCTGAGCCTGGAGAGCACCACCATGGGCAGCGCAGTGAAGGTGCTGACGGGCAGCAGCCGCCTGCACATGATGGTGCGGCGCATGGGCCGCGTGCCTGGCATCAAGTTCTCCAAAGAGAAGACCACGTGGTGAGCAGCGCCTGCCCCGCCCCGGCCCCGCCTTGCCCCCGCCCGCCCAGCACCACTATCACCCACATCCATTGGCAGAAGCTGCTTCTGCTCTTCCTGCCCCTCTGGGTACCGGAAACAGGGGATCCTAAGGCCTGACCTCGCCATGAGGAGAAGCCTGTCTCTCTCCAGGCCTCCCCCATACCAGTGGCCCTGCCCCCATGGCTGCTGCTGTGCAACCGGAGACAATAACAGCACCTCCCCACGGGGGCGCTGTAAGGATTAGCAGTGGGCCTGGCACCTTGCCGAGGCTCCATACAAAGGCGATTAGGATGGTTTCCCAAGTTTAATGAAACCTGTGTCCCGCCGAGGGCCCCAGGCCCAGGCAGGTCCCCAAAGGGAACCCCCCTTTCCCGTGCAGTTGTCAGGGCTGGGAGGGCAGGTGGGTGGCGGCGGATGGGGACCCAGCTGAGGCCCCCCGCTGTTGCCCCAGGGTGGATGTGGTGAATCGGAGGCTGGTGGTGGAGAAGTGTGGCTCGACGCCGTCTGACAGCAGCTCAGAGGATGGCGTGCGGCGCATCGTCCACCTGTACACAACCTCCGACGACTTCTGTCTGGGCTTCAACATCCGCGGGGGCAAGGAGTTTGGCCTGGGCATCTACGTGTCCAAGTGAGGGCTGGGGCAGGAAGTGAAACGGGGTAGGGCTGGGACCTGGGGATGGTGAGCAAGCGAGGCCTGGCCAGCTGCCTGTCCGAATGAGGGCTTGGGTCGGAGGGTCACCAGGAGGGGGGGCCAGGAGCTTGACTGGGACATCCCCGCATCTAAGCAAAGGGTCCGGAATGGGGGCGAGAGGGCAGGCCAGGGGCCTAGACTGATGCCTGTCTGCCCCCAGAGTGGACCACGGTGGGCTGGCCGAGGAGAATGGCATTAAGGTGGGGGACCAGGTCTTGGCGGCCAACGGTGTCAGGTTCGACGACATCAGCCACAGCCAGGCCGTGGAGGTGCTCAAAGGCCAAACGCACATCATGTTGACCATCAAGGTGGGCAGAACTGTGGGAGTCAGGGAGAGGCCAGCCCAGAGAAAGGGCTTCTTGGGCCACCCTGGTATCTAACTGTGTTCATTGCTCTGCAGTTTATGGCATTTCTCTAGCCGCATGGATGATAGGGCAGGCATTGTTCCCATCTCTATTTTGCAGAGGACACTGAGACTCAGAGAGGCAAAGGGACGAAGCAGTCAGTTACTCAGCTGGTCAGCCTGGGGCCTGGTTCCAGTGCTGCTCCCTGATTGCTAGAGCAGTGTCCCCCTTCTTATGAATGGAGGCGGAGGCCTAGGGTGGAAAGGCGCAAATGCCCTGCCCAGAAGGGTGGGCTGGCGGCTGTGGCTTTGGGCAGACCTGCGTGTTGGGCATCCCCACGCACAGGGCAAGGAAGGACGGGGCCAGAGACTAGATGTCAGGGGAGGCGGCTGCATTTATTATTCATATGGGTCTCACCCTTGCCTGAGGATCAGGTCCTTCTCACACTGACTCCTGGAGGAGGTGACACCTCGCTCTCCCCAGGGCCCAATCCCGGCCCCTGCTCTACCCTTCTCCTTCCCCAAGCCTTCGCCCATCTGGCTGTTCCGTGCCTCCTCTGCCATCCCCCGTCTCTACTTCCCACCTCTTCCACATCCCATTTCTCCCTTTCCTTCCTCTCAGATTATCCCAAATGCCCCTTCTCACTCCTGCTCTGCCCACTCATTCAATAATAATTCATTCAATACTATTTCCGGGCACCTCCTGTGTGCCAGCTGCTATACTGGCTACTAGGACTATAACAGTGAACAGACCAGACAAGGTCTCTGCTGCTGGGGGAGACAGACAAATCAACTTAATGCTTGCAGATTGTGACAGATGCTATGAGGAAAGTAACAGAGAGACAGGATGGAGTGATTTAGAAAGGCCCCTGTAGCTCAGGGGGTCAGGGCAGGCCTCTCTGAGGAGGTGGCACATGATGGGCTGAAGGAGGAGAATCCAGGTAGAGGGAACAGCAAGTGCAAAGGCCCTGAGGTACAAAGGAACTTGGCATGTTCAGAAATAAAGTGGCCTGTGAGGCTAGAGCATGATGAACTCAGAGAAGAGAAATGGGGTTGAAAGTTTACTCCTGTTCTGTCACCCCCTATTCTCACCCTCCCTTCCACTCTCCCATGCCCTCCTATGCCCACTGTGCCCTCCCTCCCCAGGAGACCGGCCGGTACCCTGCCTACAAGGAGATGGTTTCTGAGTACTGCTGGCTGGACCGACGTAAGTGGCTTGGGTCCCCAAGATTGGAGGGAAAGGGCTGAGGCCCGAGAATGGGGCCAGGATGTCTGAAGAAGAAAGTCAGGGGGGACCAAGATCCCCTTAGGACCTTCCCGTAGCCCAGAGCTATTTCTGGGCTCTCTGCTGAGAAGCTGCAGATCCAATTCCAGGCTCTCCTAGGGTCTGGGGTCCCAGCGGTGAATCGAGGAGAAGCGACTTGCCTAAGGTCTCCCAACAAGTCAGTGGCAGGATTGTGGAGCAGCGGGTTCCCCAGACCCCACGGTTCTACCCTTGGCTGCTGCCTGACTGATGTTCGTTCCTCCACCCTGAGCCCAGGGGTGGTCTGCAAGGTGGGCAGGGCCCTGAAGCAAATGGGCAGACCCCTGAGATGCCCCTGCCTCCCCCACTCCCTGCAGTGAGCAATGGGGTGCCGCAGCAGCTGTCCCCCGCCTCCGAGAGCAGCTCCAGTGTCTCCTCGTGTGCCTCCAGTGCCCCCTACAGCTCGGGCTCCCTGCCCTCGGACCGCATGGACGTCTGCCTGGGCCCGGAGGAGCCGGGCAGCCACGGCCCAGGCTGGGGGCGGGCGGACACAGCCATGCAGACGGAGCCTGATGCGGGGGCCCACGTGGAGACCTGGTGCAGCGTGCGGCCCACGGTCATCCTCAGGGACACAGCCATCCGCTCTGACGGCCCCCTGCCCACCCACCGCCTCGATTCTGCGCTCTCTGAGTCCCCCAAGACTGCTTTGCTACTGGCCCTTAGCCGACCCCGGCCCCCCATCACACGCTCCCAGAGCCACCTGACCTTGTGGGGTACGTGGGGGATGGGTGGCTGCTGCTCTCTCCACAGTCCCCTGGTCCCAAACCTGCCCCAACCTCTGCCCCAGGCCTTGACTCAGCCCCAGAATATACTCAGCCCCGGCTCTGGGCTTCATTTTAAACTTATCCTGGGCTCCAAACCAGCCCAACCCCAGCCCCTTCATCCTGGAGTTCCTAGGCCTGTTCTCACACACACACACACACACACACACACACACACACACACACATGCAGACACGCACTCCTCCAACTGGCCCTCAGTGGACATTCTGTACATAGCTACAGCTGTGGGGTGGGGGGAAGGCATCAGAAAGTTGGAAGAGGAGCCCCCCATCGCCTCCCACCCCACACGGCTGCAGATCCTGTCTGCCCCCTCCTCTCCCTTCTTTCTGCCCCTCCCCACACCCCTGGCCCTCGTCCTTTCCTTCTGCCCACCCCTCCAGTCCCCTGGGTGCTCCCTCGTGTCTGCAGAGGAGAAGAAGCAGCGAAAGAAGCAGAAGTCGGGGTCCCCTGGGGAGAAGGGTGCCCTGCAGCGCTCCAAGACGCTGATGAACCTCTTCTTCAAGGGCGGGCGGCAGGGGCGCCTAGCAGGGGATGGATGTAGAGAGGCCTGGACGCTGGACAGCGGGAGCCTGGCCAAAGCCCGCCCTCGCCCAGATGTGGAGAAAGGTGAGTGCTGGGTTGATCAGACAGGAGGGCAGGGTGACATCCGCTAGCCATGGCACCCAGCAGTCCTGGGTTGAGACTCTGCACTGCCTCTCACCAGCCGTGAGTCACCACACAACCCCTGTGAGCCTCAGTGTCCTCATGGGTAAAATGGGAGTAATAATACCCGTTCTTTAGGAGTAGTGAGGAACAAGTGAATGCACGTATGTAAATCACTACGAACGCTGTCTGGCACACAGCAGGTGCACAGGAAATGTAGTGGTCGTTATGGCGTTGTGATCGCCTCGTCTCCCCATTTTACGGAAGGGGAAACTGTTAGAGTCACAGCACAGCAAGGAAGCGGCAGAGCTTGGATCAGATGCTGTGCTCCTGGTGGTCATGGTGATGGTGGTGGTGGCAGGGCACACTTTTCCTAGAGCCTTTGGCTTCACCTCCCCTGGCCAGACCTCCACTGGCCCAACCCATTTCTAGAAGCATCCTTGAGCAAGGCCATTTCTAGGTCAAGGCCCAGGCAGAAGGGTCCTGTCCAGGCTGACTCATGTCAGGGACTTCCCAAGGACGCTCACAAGAGGCCCTGTCCTCTCTCTGGTGAGTTTCAGAGACTAGACCAAGAGTGGCTAACTTAGTTAAGACTCTCGGAGTTGCACGTGACAGAAACTCAACTCCAAGTAGCTTTTTTTAAAAGCACTTCTTGGCTCTGCTACTGATGTAAGCTGGGTCCAAAGGTCTGAACAATATCAGCAGATGTCTGTCCCCCTCTGTCTTTCCCATGGGTTAGCTTCATGATCACATGGGCTTTGCCAACTTGGAGGTAAATTGGCCACTATTGCTTAGCAACCCCAGGGCAAAGAGAGCTTCTCCTTAAACAGTTCCAGCAGAAGTCCCAGGACAGGCCCTCACTGGCCCAGCTGGGGTCCCATGCTGTGCTGAACAAGTCACTGAGATGTGGGACAGAGAGAGGTGCTCTCACTGGCCAGCCTGGGGCCCACCCTGGAGTACATGAGCTGAGAATGGAGGGAGGGGGCTGCACAGAGAAAAATCAGGGTGCTGTTTCCAGCAGGGGAGTGGATGTTGGGTGGGCAAAAACAACCAGAGGATAAGGGGCTGGACCCGTTCTACCCTGGGGTCTGATGTTCTGGGGTCTCAAGGTGATGGTCCCATGGGGGAGAAAATTCCTTCGAACTCGGGCTGGCCAGCCACCCTCCCTCAACCCATCTCTCTTCCTACAGCTCCCAGGGCCCTGCTCTCTCCTGGTTCTCCCCCTCCTCTCTGGCCACTGTCTCCTTCAAAGGCTCCTCTTTCCCCTGTCCCCTGAAGGTAGGTGCCCCCCAAGCTCAGTCCTTGAGGCTCCTCCCTCCACACGTTTGCTTCCAGTGAATCTGCACAAGCAGAGCTCAGACTGTACCCTCTCTTGATCCAGAACCTTCTCTGGCTCCCCATTGCCTATGGAACGAGTCCCTAGCCTCAGCGTGACCTCCAAGCCCCTCATGGCCGGGCCTCTTGCCCCCCTTTCCTCCCTACTTCTGGCCTGAACCCCCCTTCCCACCAGTCCTGAGCCCATCCAAGCCCCGTTTTCAGATTCGGGGCCAGGGCCTGCAGCTGAGCCTCTTTCTTCTTCATGCAGGGGGCGTGGGGCCCGTGCAGAAGTTTGTCACCTGGAGACTGAGACGCGGTAATTCACACATCCCTTTACCAACGCCTGGTTTACAGTGGAGTGGCAGATGGGGGGGCGTGTGGGGCCAGCTGAGTGGCTTTGGACTAAACTCAGCTGGGGTCAAGCATGGGGAGCAGGCAGCTGGGGAGGTGCATAGTGGGGCAGCTAAAAGAATGAGACCAAGCTTACTAGGAAAGGGGGTGTATCTGGGGCTCGTGTTGGGACTCCCAAAGGCAGATGCGGGGCAATGAGGGAGCCTGTGCTGGGACTCCAATGGGAACAGACTCCTATGACAGCGCCTGTCCAGGGGGCGCAGGGGGCACTGGGCTAAGACTGCTAAGGAGCAGACTGGTTCGGGGTCCATGTTTGGGGCTGGGGGGCAGGGCTTGGCACTCCATTGGTGGGCAGGCTGCCATGGAAGACCAGGTAGGCAGCACAGGGCTGGGATTCCTTCTGGGTGCCTGGGCCTCTCAGCCGGCCTGTTCTGGGCCGCGGGAAGCCCTTGTCCTCCCGTGATGGCTCCTGGCTCCTCCATCACACCCTTTGCTCCTGCCCTGCAGACCGGGAGAGGGGCCGGGCCCTGCTTTCCGCCAGGTCCGGGAGCCCCTCCAGCCAGCTGCCCAGCGTGGATGAGCGGGTGCAGGCCTGGGAGAGCCGACGGCCCCTCATTCAGGACCTGGCCCGGCGGCTGCTGACCGACGACGAGGTGCTGGCCGTCACCCGCCACTGCTCCCGGGTAAGCTTGCAGCCCGCCCCCAGCACGTGGTCACAGAGTCACCTAGCCCCTCTTTCATTCGGGCCACTGTCCACTGACCAGTATCTGGGCTTGATGACAGAAAGCCAACGGTCAGTAAAAGCAGAAGTCACTCCTGTCACATACACCCCGCACAGTCAGGAAGGGGAGATAGACAGTGACTAGAACCTAAACACCCATAGTGACAGTCACGTGAAGAGCTGTGAAGGGAAGGAGCATGAGAAGACAACCGGAGGGCACACGTTAGGCGGTGCAGTCTGGGAATGCCTCCCGGAGGAGGTGATATTTAAGCTGAGGAGAAAAGGAACCAGACAGGCAATGAGTGTGGGAAGAGAGTCCCTGCAGTCACCTGCCTCTGCCCTCTCTAAGCTCCACTGTCCCCCCTTGCCTCCTCCTGCCCCTGGGTCAGCCAGCAGGACTGGCCTCATGCCAGGCCCCTCCCCTGTTACCCACATAAGTAATCCTTGGCCCCCCCCAGTCCCCTCCAACACCTACACTGTTCTCTGTTTCCTTCCACTTCCTACAGAACCACAGGGCCCCAGGGTGAGGAAGCCGGGTTTGAAGGAGTCCCTGGAGCCCGAATGTTGGGGAGGCTGGGGAGGCGCAGCTTGCCTCTCTGGGAGGATCGGAAGGTCCCCTCCTATCTCTCTGTCTCTGGAAAGTGCAGGTGCACAGTCCACAGCCCGTGTAAACCTGTGCGGCGTCCTGTGTTGGGCTTCCTGGGAGCACACGCGTCAGCGCACACTGTGTGTGAGGGCCAGCTGAGGGGTCTCGGAATATCGTCTGTGGGCTCCCCCGACTCCCACCTTGTCTAGGGTGGGACGGCTTTGTATGTCCGCATGGTGTGCACTGGTGTGTCTGTGGGGTACCTGGTTTGTGTGACTACATGATTGTGTGTGTGTGTGTGTGCGTGTGGCTGGCTAGTGCATGAGTGTGTTTGTGCATTGTCACCTGGAGACTGAGACATGGTCATTCACGCATCCCTTTACCAAGGCCTTGTTCACAGCAGAGCTGCAGGTGGGGGTGCATGCTAGGTGGCAGCTGAGGGGCTTTGGGCTAACTCACAGGTGTCACCCTCAGCTCTCCGCGCTGAGTGGGCCTGCGGTTACCAGCCTGCAGTGAGTCTGCAACTTCAGCTGTGGCCACGAGGTGGAGCTCTGTGTCTGTTTCTTTGGCCGGCTCCTTTTCCCTACCTCTCCACTCCCCTCCCCTGCCCAAGCCAGGCCACCTCTCACTGTGCCTTCACCACCTGCGGGGCTGCAGGGACCACCCAAACCTGGCCCAAGCCCCACCCACACCCAGAGATCAGACTCTGGGATGGAGCCTTGGCCAGAGTGATTAATAAGGTTCCCCTAGTTACTCTGATGTGTAGCCCTGAGCCCCAGGCCTCCCCTCTCTCCTCCCAGAGCTGTCTCCCCACAGCCGACAGACCTAGAGTTACACATCCCCTCTTCTGTCGCTTTACACTCCCCAAGTCACCTAGCGACCCATGTCTTTGGCAGAATAGAGGACAAGCTCCTTACCCTCAATTCAAGGCCCTCCCTGATTTGACTCCTAACCCACGAACCTCAGCTCTCTCGCTGACAGCACGCAGGTTTGCACAGCTTCTGAACTGCACCACTTTGGGGTGTGCTACTCGCATAGTAGTTCCAACCTGCACGGCCCTGCATGGAGGCTCTTCATGGACCCTATGGCCAGGTGAAACCTCTACCTACTCATTATTCCACACCACTTCGGGAGCACTTTCCTCCTGTGCCCTGCATCTACCCTCTAAGAATCAGTGGCAGTACCACCACCTCCATGCAGGCCGCTCTGATGCTCGCACCTTCCTCTGAGACTCCCTCTGCCCCATTGCCAGTGGTTTGTAGCTCACTGGGGTAGGTGACTCATCAGCCCCTCATTCTCCCTAGACTGAGTTCCTGAAGATCTGAGACAGGGTCTTCATCGTTGTGTCGCCACTGCCCGGTACAGGGCCTGGCACTTAGCGGATGCTGGATGCAGGTCTGCGGACTCGAGATGTGTGCACATATGTGGTTGTTTCTGTGCAGTGAGTGTATCTCTCTTCAGACAAAAGGGAATGCATTGTCATACGTGGATGTGTGACTCCCTGTAACTTATGTGTGGTTCAGGGCCACAGGGTTTGTATTTTATTTATTTCTAGATATTTATGGATGACTCCCCCTGAGGGCCAGGGCACGCTCTATCTCTGTGTCTATGCACGCGGGAGATGTTCTATGTGTGTGCCCCTGAATCAGTCTCCCTCTCGCCACCAGGGGGTGGTGTGCTGTCCAAGTAGGGTAGCTTCCAGTGTTCAGGTCTTCAGAAGGAGTGGGGTGTGGCTGGTGGCATCTCAGCAGTGCCAGGCAGAAGGGGCTCCACCCCCCAGGGCACTGACTTGAGCCCCCCCCCTTCCCCAGGGCCCCCATTGCAGCCCTGAGCGAGGCCTAGCTTGTAGATCTGTGTGCAGACACATGCTGGGCCTGCCAGGCCCACAGCCTAGTGTTTGGCTCAAATTCCTTCCTTCTGCCTGGGAGATGGGGGTGGGGAGAAGAGTCCACTCCCTGCACATCCTTTTCCGGTACCAGAGCAGGCAAGAGCCAGACTTCTCAGGTTCCAATCCCTCTTCGCAATTCCTTATCCGTGTGGCTTTGAACAAAGTCCTCCTCTCTACGCCTCAGTTTCCTCGTATGTAAAACAAGAATAATTAATGTCATTTCTCAGGGTGGCTGCTAAATAAGAGGTCATATGAAAAAGGCTTAGTTAGAAAAGTGCCTGTCCCCAAAGTGTTATTGTTGTTGCTGTTTACTACAGGTCGTTATTATTGCAGGTTTCTACCTAGTCACCAAGATAAGACCATCCCGTGGACAGCCCGGGGGTGGAGTGAACCTTTCCTAAGGCATGGATACCTCCAGAGCCCCTCAGGCCCTGGCATTTCCCCTCACCCAGCTCAGGAAGTCCCCCCAGCTATCTGACCTGTGGTGCCTCTATCTGCAGTACGTGCACGAGGGTGGTGTGGAAGACCTGGTGAGGCCCTTGCTGGCCATTCTCGACAGGCCTGAGAAGCTGCTGCTGCTGAGGGACATCAGGTGGGGAAGGGCTGGGAGGAGGGCTGGGGGCAGGAAAGGGATCCCTGATACTTCCCCAGGGCTGAAGTTCCTCCTGGCACCTCCAGAACTGAGCCCCTGCCTGCCCCCTGCCCCTTGCCCTCCCCCAGGAGTGTGGTGGCCCCCACGGACCTGGGCCGCTTTGACAGCATGGTGATGCCCGTGGAGCTGGAGGCTTTTGAGGCCCTCAAGAGCAGGGCAGGTCAGCAGCTGGGGGTCGGGGGGGCAGGACTTCTGCATCCTGAGCCCGTGGGGCTGGGGTGGGAGCTCACAGCAGAGCCTGCCTGAGTGCCTGGAGCCGCGTCCGCCGGCGAGCCTGGTGGGGAGCCTTGCCTCTGACCTGTCCCCCTCTCCAACCAGTCCGGCCTCCTGCTTTGCGACCTGCCCGGCAGGACACACCGCCCAAACGTCACCTCATCACCCCTGTGCCTGGTCAGTCAGAGTCCCACAGCCCAGGGAGGGGCGCAAGCCTGGGGAGACTGGGGGAGGGAGGATGGGCCCTCTGTCCCAGCCCCTACGTGGGGACACACTGTGGGTCCCTGAAGGAAAGCCCTCACCCGCCAGAGCCGTTTCTGTCCCATCTGCTCACCACCTATACCATTGCTTACTTAATAGTTGTTTTGAAACCCACTCACTTTTAATGTCTAGTCTCATTCTATGCAGTAATCTCTGAGAAATTACCAGTTTGGTGTGCGAGTAATATTTTTTCTTAGGTATATTCAAATAGAACTGTAACTATTACAGTAGAAAGTATTAAAATGCAATTACAATAGAATGCATTTGTCCTTCTGCCCCAGTGGGTCACGTCCCCGCTGCAGCTGCACTAGGGCCTGGGAAAACTCAGGCCGGTTTGCATTGGCCCCACACAGACTGGCAGGGCCTGGGGCTGGAAAGGTGCTCTGGGTGGGGGCGGGGGGCAGCCTGACCTTGGCTTTCTTCCCCAGACAGCCGCGGGGGCTTCTACCTGCTGCCCGCAAACGGCTTCTCAGAGGAGGACAATGCCAGGGAGCTGAGGGAGCAGCTGGGGGGCCTCAAGGTCTCCCTGAGTGCCCCTGCCCCCTGCCACTCTCATAAAGGGATCCCCCCTCTCCAAGACGTGCCAGTAGATGCCTTTGCCCCCTGCCACCGCAGCGCCTGCACGCCCCCTCCCCAGCCACCCACCGTGGCTCCCTGGCCCCCACGGCCTAACTGGCTGCTGACAGAGCCTCTGAGCCCAGAGAGCCCCGGGCAGGGCCAGAGCCAGGGCCGGGCCCAGAGCCGCAGCCGCAGCCGCAGCCAGGGTCGAAGCAAGTCCCCTGGACGCAGGCGCTCCCCATCCCCGGCACCCATCCCCACCCCCAGCATGGCCAATGGGCGCTACCACAAGCCTCGGAAGGCCAGGCCTCCCCTGCCACGACCTCTGGATGGGCAGGCAGCCAAGGCAGGGGACAGGCAAGGGCCCTCCGAGAATGGAACTGGTGGGACAGTGGAGGAGGCAGCCATGCAGGCCCCCAGTGGGGAGTTGAGAATAGTCACGCTGTCCAAGACGAAGCAGTCCTTGGGTGAGTCCAGGTGGGACTGGGGCCAGCAGGGGGGACTCTGGGATTTGGGTGAGGAGGTTGGCGGGCTTAGTTTTGGGTGTGACTCAGGGGCCTGGGCCTAGGAAGAGAATCTTGGGTATTGGGGTATAGCTGGGGGGTCTAGATTTGAGGGGGTTGGGATCTGGAGGATCTTAGAGTTAAGATTTGAGTAGTAACAGAACCTGGGGATTTGGGAAAAGTTGGGGACCCTGGATTTTGGAATGGAGTCCTAGGCTTGTCCCGGAGCTTGCATTCGGGGGTGTGCTGCACTCTCACAGTTTCTCACCCTCACTAGGCATCAGCATTTCTGGGGGCATTGAGTCCAAGGTGCAGCCCATGGTGAAGATAGAGAAGGTCTTCCCTGGGGGGGCCGCCTTCCTCAGCGGGGCCCTGCAGGTGGGTGAAGAGTGCCCAGGCCCACTCCTGGGGGAGCCCGGTGGGAGGTCAGGCCGGCACATGCTCACTTCCAGCCAGACATGTTTAGACCAGGTTGTGGGAGGCAGCTTGGGGTTAGGGGGTTCAGATGAGCAGGATCAGCAGGCCTGGGGAAAAATCTGTCCCCTCATGCTAGCCTGAGGCCGGCCCATCCTGTTCCACCCCACGCCCCAAGGGACAAAGGGCCCTTGTCTGTGCCCCACCCTGCCCCCAACGGCTCCAGGCACAAAAGTCCCATTGTCCATCCCCTCCACCCAGATGGGGGAGGCATGTCCTAGCTGGTAGAGGTGAGAGGACACTGCCTTCAGGTGGGGTGGTGTGGTGCGGGTGACTCTCCCACCCCATCCTAGGCTGGCTTCGAGCTCGTGGCAGTGGATGGAGAGAGCCTGGAGCAGGTGACCCACCAGCGAGCAGTAGACACCATCCGTCGGGCTTATCGAAACAAGGCTCGGGAGCCCATGGAGCTTGTGGTCAGGGTCCCCAGGCCCAGCCCACTACCCTTACCCTCTGACTCATCAGCCCTCCCCGACCAGCCCCTTCCTACTGACCATTCCCCTGCCCACCAAGCCCGTGATGCTCCCACCCCCTGGCACCCAGAGCGTCCCACCAATACCCAGCCCCCTCCCACGGATGCTGGCCTCCTCCAGCCCACTCCCAGCCCAGTCCCCTCTGCAACCCTCCAGACTCCTGATACCCACCCCAGGCTCTCCCCACTTATCCCATGACCCTTCCCACTAACCTCAGGTGAACCCCCTGCTATCTCCAGGCCTCGCCTGCTAACTTCCTCAGGATGTGGGAACCTCCAGCTCCTGCTTGCCCTGCCCACTCTGAGCTCCACGCTGGTGGCTCTCATCTCCCTACTTCCTTCCCTCCTCAGCTGTCACTAAAGCTCTGCCTTAGTGTCCAAGGACAAGGTGCTAGCGGGCAGCCTGTGTCACCCACACTCACTGCTCCCCAACCTCCCAAGATAGGAAAGGGGCTGCGAAACCCACTGTCTGGAGCCTGGGATTGGTGGGCACTTTCTCATGATGCCCCTTGGATTTCCCTCAAACACTGAGGGATATGGACTCCCAGGGCCCTCAAGGGGTCAATGCACACACTCCCCAGCCCCAGGCAGCATTCTGTGCAAGGTACAGGATGAAAGGCTATTCATTCCCTTGAACTCCGAGAGACCACTTCATGTTGGGGTCCACTAGGACCTCAGACTTTCTAATTTCTATGATTTTTCCTTCCCCCCTCACCCTTTCTCCCCATAAGAGCTCTATGAGGGGTAGGGGAGTTGCCAGCAAATAAAGAGGGATGGGGGATCAAACAAGTTCCCATAATCTTTACCCAGCACGCTTTTTTTAAACAAAAAAAATTTTTTTTAATGTTTTCTTTGGGTTTGTACAAGAATTTACAGTGTGAAAAATATACACGTGAAAATGAGGCCGTAAACCTGGGTGAAGGGAGGGGCTGCTTGGTCACAAACAAATAAACAAGACATTTCTGAGTTCTTCCTTTGGTCTGACTTCAGCCCCCTCACTCCAGGAGAGAGGCTGCAGAGCTGGAACCTGGGGGCCAGACCCCAGTCCCAGCCCTGTCCCCCAATGTGGGCAGGGTGGGGGTAGGCACATCTGGAGCAGCTGGTGCCATCTGGCTCTCTCTGGCTTTGGGGTGGGGGAGAATGTGGAGATGAGGGTGTCCCTTCCTCTTCCCAGCTCCCCGGCAGGAGTGGGCTGGCGGTGTCTGGGTGAGCAGCGTGGCACTGGCAGCAGTGGGGAGTGAAATGGGTAGAGTGAGTAGGAGCCTCTGGGTGACAGTGAACACAGGGACCTTTGAAGGGTCTGTTCTTGCTCCTCCAGGTCACAGGGCAACCTCGAGTTCTTGGCAGATCCTGGGGGATGAGTGGCTGTGGGCCCTCAGACTGGATCCCAGGGCCTCAATGGATGCCAGCTGCTGCCCATCTTTGGCAGAGCTCCCTGCAGAGCTGGGTGCGAGGGCCCTAGATCTCGGTGGCAGTGATCTCCTCCAGGCAGATGCAGGGGGCCTGCTCGGCCAGGCCCAGGTCGGCGAGCTCCCGGGCCTCCAGCTCCAGGCTGAGCTGCTGCAGCTCCTGCTCCAGCTGCCGGTTGCGCCGGTACATCTGGATGTAGTTGTGCTGCAGCTGCTTCTGGTATCGGATCACCTGCTCTTTCTCCGCCTGCCAGGCCAGCCGCTCCCCCTCGAAGCTGTCCCGCTGCTCCTCGCCCCGCTGCCGCTCCCGCTGCAGCTCCACCCGCAGCCGCTCCACCTGGGCCCGCAGGCTGCCCCCAACCCCGGCTGCTGCCCGCTGCACCTTGGCCTCGTCACTCTCCGCCAGGAGGAATGGGTCAGCGGTGGCAGGTGGCACAGGGGGTTCCCGGAGTCCGGCTGCCTCAGCATCCAGCTGCCCAGCTTTCTCCCGCAGCCGCTCAGCCTCCTGGCGGTGCCTCTGCAGCTCCTGGGAACAGGCCTCCAGCTCCAGCTCCCGCGCTCGGGCCGCCTCCTGGAGGCCCCGCGCCCGGCCCTCACTGACCCGCAGTGTAGCTCGGGCCTCCCGCAGCGCCACCCGCAGGGCCACCAGCTCGCTGCCCTTCTGCACCAGCTCTGCCTGAGACTCCTTCAGTTGCTGCTTCAGCAGGGAGATCTCGCCTGACTTCTGGCACACCTGGGGGTGGGAGGTAGTCAGGAAGGGAGGTGAGAAGGGTTCCCCTGGGGGACAAGCCCTGCTCATCACGCTGGGCATTTGGGGAGAGAAGGTTCGATCATCGTCATTTTACAAACGGACACAGGGACAAGTCTAGTGACATGTCCAAAGTCATACAGCTAGTATATGGCTAAAGTGGAAAGCAGAGATCTTTTTCCTGCAAAACTGGTGTCTTTAAACCACCACAAGACACTGTGGAAGCACCACCTAGCCCTGGGTGCTGCAGGAGTGGAGCAATGGAGGGCAGTGCCCACGCCGTCAGTTGAGAGGCACTACAGCGTCTCGGTTAACAGCGCAGGTAGCAGAGCCAGACTGCCTGGGTTCCAGTCTTCGCTCTGCCACTGCTAGGCGTGATCTGGGTCTCCACCCTTTCTGGGCCTCAGTTTGCTCATCTATAAAGAAGGGTACTAACAGTGCCCACCTTGTGGGGTTGCTACGAGGATTAATACGTGATATACTTAGAAGGGTGCCTGCCACACAGCAAGCGCTACGTTATTATTGGTTGGAAGGCAGGGGGACGGGAGTGCCATTGGCCACGTGGACACTGGCCACGTGGAGGCACAAGGAGACCTCCACCTAGAAAGGGACAGCAGAGGGGGATCCTCATCTTGTAGGGATGAGGAAGGGGGGTCCTCTGGGGGTGGCAGGCTGAGCGGGGTGTGGCTAGGCCCCTCTTGCCAGGGCTCATCCCTGTGTGACTCTGCTCCGTTGTCCCTCCTATTCTGGCTCACCTCCCACTTGGTCTCCTCCAGCCGTGGCCCAAGCTCCCGCTGCTCCCGCTCCAAGGTGGCGCAGCGCCGCTCCAGCTGCTCGCGCTCCTGCAGCAGCTGGGCAAAGTCATCCTGCAACTGCCGCTTCTCCTGCTGCAGCTGGAACACCTGCAGCTGCAGCAGCTGCTGGGCCCGCTGCGCCCGCTGCGCCTGGGCTGCACAGTCTTCTCGCAGGGCCTCGCGCTCTCGCTGCCAGTGCCGCTGCCGCTCCTCGTACGCCTGTGGGTGACAAGGCAGACCTGGGTCCTGGGTAGCTCCCCCAACCCCACTCCCTGACTGCCCTGGTGGCCCACAGCCTGGGGAGGACAGATGCCACTAAACAGTAATTATGACAATAGCAACTACTTTTGACAACAGAAACAACAGTAATAATAGCAAGCACTTACCAATAGCACTGCCTAGGTGCCAGGCAGTTTTCTAAGCACTTTATATCCTTTGCCTTATTTAATCCTCCCAATAACTCTATGGAGCCAGAAGTGCCCCCATTTATAGATGAAGAAACTAAGGCTGAGCAAGGTTAAGTAACTTGTTCAAGTCCACAAGACAGCAGGGGGCCGTGCCGGGTGTGAAGCATGCACTCTGGCTCCTTCCCACTCTATAGGCAGCCAAACAACGGGGGCGGGGGTCCTCAACTGCAACTGCCCAACCCCCTGCCCCCAAAACAGAAGTGCCCCTTGGATTCTCAGGGCCTTGGGACATTCTACCATGCCATTCCCCATTATCCCCTCTGACCACACCTGGCATATGGTCGCCTCACTCTCGTCCAGATTGTCCCGCAGCTGCTGAAGCTCTGCCTCACGGTCACGGAGCTTTCCTTCCAGGACACAGTGCAGCAGGGCCTCGTCCGAAGGGGGTGGAGGAGGTGGGGGTGGTGGGGAGCGCTCCCCACAGGAGCTGCTGTCTGGGGAGGCCCGGGGACCACTGCCCAAGAGCCCCCCAGCCATGCGGCCCCCCAGGGAGCCCGTGCTCTTGCTAGAAGAGGATCGGCCACTGTCCGAGTGGGAGGGACCAGTAGGGGCCCCTCGGGCTGGCCCGGGCTGTGCCCCCCGCCCAGGGCCGTGGGAGGGCAGGTGCCCACCTGGGGAGTTGGTGGCTGGCTCAGCGCCCCCAGTGCTGTAGGTAGGCAGGCTGGACAGTGAGTTTCGGCCAGAGTCGGACAGTGTTCCTGATGGGCAGCCACTGGCCCAGCCACTCGATGCCAGGGGTTTGTCAGCAGCCGAGGAGGAAGACGAGGAAGAGGAGGAGGAGGTGGCAGGGCCCCCAAACAGCTGCGTTAGGCTGCCCTGGCTCCCAGACAGCCCAGTGGCCCGAGGACCCAGGAAGCTGGGTAGGGATGGTGCCCCTCGAGGTTTGGGCAGCACTGGCTTGAAGGCTGTTGGGCGGATCAGGATTTTCTCCATGTTCTGAAATGAGGTGCCACGTGACACTGGGAGTGAGCTGCCCGATCTTGCAAAGGTCTATGATACTCCCTGCCCTCTCATCTGGGGTCCCCAATACCCACATATTAATAACAATTGCTACCACCTGCAGAGGACCTCTGTGAGTGTCAGCTTTATGTCAAGTGCTTTGAAAGGTTCATCTCTAATTGTTACAACAGTCATAAGAGCAAAATATTATCACTGTCCCCATATTTCAGATGAGGAAATGGAGGCTTAGCCAGGTTAAAGACCTTGCCCAAAGTCAAATGCATAGCTATTGCAGAATGACAATAATTTAAGCAATTAGCATCTAGTGAGTGCATGCTAGGTGTCAGGCACTATGCTAAGCATTGTTTGATTTAATTCTCACATCAATCCATGGGCTGACCTATTACTTCCATTTCACAGATACAGAAACTGAGGCTCAGACAAGTTAAGTGAATTCCTTGAGGTCACACAGCCAGAATGAGGCAGAACTGGGATTAGAACCCAGGTCTGGTGAATTTAGACCCCACACTCCTTTCCTTATATAAGATTCCAAATTCCAGCTTCCCAAGAGGGGTCTTGATTCCACCCAGGCCCCTAAGGAAGAGCCGGTACTCACCTTCTCGAGCTTTCCAGAGACAGGGATGAGCTTCGGTGGGGGGCCACGGAGGTGGGCATTCCGTGCCCGTTGCTCCCGGGCATCTTCAACATCACTGCTTGGGCTGGGAGGTGACTCTGTCCGGAAGTCCTCATTGATGTAGGTGAAGGTGGTGCCCGGGACAGCCTTCCTGGGGGGCACAGCTGGGCACAGTGGCTCTTGTGCCTCATAGCCACCTCGAAGCAGCCCATCCTGCTGGCGGAAGAAGGTGGGCCCAGGCGGGCCTTGGTGGCGGGGAGGAGCTGGCCCCCCAGGGCAGGGCCGGCCTGAGATGAGGCTGCTCACGCTGCCCATGGCTGGAGCTTTTGGGGAAGTGGCAGCTTCAGGAGCGGGTTCCAGTGGCACTGGCAGAGTCTGCACAATGGCCATGGCAGCAGAGGCTCAGGCCTGGCCAGGGGCCTCCAAGGCAACCTGTGAGCAGGGCAGTGGTGTCAGAGTCCCTCCACCTTGAGCCCCCTGCCTGAGTCCCTGTCTTGACCCCTTGATCCAGGCCAAATATCCCCCTACCATCAGTAACAAGCCCTGATCCTCCTCAAGACTCCCCCTCCAAGCGCTGGCATGAACTTTCTCTGGGCCCCAGACCACTGCCCAATTCTGGTTGGAACAGGACTGTGCACCGAGCTCACTGAGCAGGGATGACAGCAGTGGGACGCCTGGGTGGTTATGCAGGGCCCCTTGGAAGCAGAGGCCCAGGCCCAAGCCTAGGCCACAGAGGACAGGACTCAGGTTAGGGAGGGAGCCCTCTCTACCAGCTCCTGGCACAGGTCCCTGGTCCTCTGGGACAGGTGGCCTCATTACAGGGCAGTTTGGACAGAGGCAACCTCAGGGATGCAATCAGTAACTCAGATGGTAATTAGGGAACAAAGAACCACGGCCCAGCTGGGCCATGCCCTGCCACCCCCTGCTGGGCCTCAGTTTCTCCCAGACAGAGAGGCGGCAAGGGTGGATCTGGCCAAACAAGAAACCCACAGCTCTTAGGGAGTCCACAGGTGCCCTCTGGAGTCTCCTGCTTCCCAGAGGTGGATGCAGGCTCCTGCTTGTTTCCATGACAACTCCTGGCCTCTCCACATCCAATCAGTAGGGCCTAAACGAGCCTACACAGGCCCTGCCCCACTGCTAACCTCTATGACACCTTCCAGCTTTAAATGTTCCCGAAGTAACCCAGAAGAGATGATGGCGGAAGCCCTACCTCCAGCAGCTAAGACCTCGCTTACCCGGAGCCCAGGCAAGAGGGCTCCACTCTCCAGGCCCTGCTCCTTCCCGGAAGGGAAAAGCAAGCCTCTACCCGGAACTCCCTCCCCAGTCCTGAGGCCGCTGATGACCAGGACTTAGGCATCTGCTGAAGTCATCAAGCAGAGTAGGGGCCAAGAAGTGGACAGAGAATTGCAGGGGAGTAGGAGTGTGTGCATGTACTTATTGTGCGGGACTAAATGCACAGCACCGTGAAAATGAAGACTGTGTGTATACTAAAATGTTGGAAAACATCATAAATGTGTGTGAGTGTATGTATGTTTGGACAGATGTATCAGTACATTCATACATACATGAGCACGTGCGAATTCATATGTGTATATCTTACAAAAGAACGTGGATAAATAAGGGGTGGTTATTAGAAAGTATGAGGTAGTTACAAATGCATATACATGTAACATGTAGGGTACGAATATGAACACATGAGAAAATGGATAGATGCATCAGTACATTCATGTCAACATGAGTTTATGTGTGAACTCCTATGTGTGCACTTTCCACGAGTGTGTGACTAGGAAGGTGAGTGTGTACAAGTGTGTACAGAGGAGTCTGCACGCTTGTGGGAGTGGGTGGGAACTTGGGGGGTTGTGCAGGCCAACAGGCGAGTGGGAGCCTGTTTTTCCTCACTCTTCGGTGCGTGGGGAGAGGTGAGACACACATCATCTGATTCCTTTGCCTGATCTGTTCCCCTTCATTCTTGTTTGTGCTCCATTAAGTCCACCCCTCCTCCCCTCGCAAGCAGAAAGCCACTCAGCACCAGGAAGGTGTCCGGACTGAGGCAGGAGTTGTTGGGAGCTGGGTGTAGGGCTGAGTGGTGTGCAGGGAGCAATCACAGGCCCCTCTGCAGGGCTTGGAGCTGAGACCACCCACAAATCCCAGCTCTAGCAGAGCAAAGCAGACAGAGAACCCCCTCCTCTCCCCTCTCCAGGGCCACTCCAGGGCATGGAGAGAACAGTGGGGAAGGGGCTTCTTAGGAGGCAAACGGGGCAGACCCCTCCATCTGCATTTCCCCACTTCAGTGAGCACAGAGAGTGAAAACTGAAGGGAGGAGACAGACTCAGAGAAAGACAGGGACCCAAAAGACAAGAGACAAAGACTCAGAGAGGCCTAGAGGGTCAGGCAGACAAGGAGACAGGAAGGCAAACCCAGTGAGCCGGGTCCCCTGCAGCCCACCAAGCCAAGGGGCCCTAAATCCAGAGTGACATAAGGCTGGGCCCTGAGAGCCAGACACCCAGGGAGCAGGAGCCAAGCGTCTGGAAGGCCAGGCCCAGCCAGCAGGCTCCGCTCCTGGAGCCGAGAGAGAAGGAGGGGCAAGTGGAGGCTCCATTTTGAGAAATGCGTTTGTGGCTGTGGGAAAAGGGAACCCCTCATTCTTCCCAGCACTCCCTGAGTAATCACTTCGGTCCGGGAGACCCCTCCCTGTTAGCGGGCTGGGGAGAGCTGAGGGCTGGGGCTCAGCCCGGGCTAGAGAGGGGTCTGAGGAGTTGGGGAAAGTCTCCCCCAACCCGAACTCCAAAGAGCAGCCAGGCGGGATCACGTCTGGGGTCTCGAGTTCCCACTCCGCGACAGGAGGCCGGGAGCCCCCACCCACCCTCAAGAGTCCAACCCCCCCTTCCAGAAAGTGGGGGCAGCTGTGGAATGTGGCCTCCCCGCTGGAGTCCACCGCGCAGAAGTTGGGGGCGCCCCAGGCCGCCTCCCAGCCCTGGCCCCCCCTCACCTCCGCCGCGCTGCTCCATGCTCAGCCCCGGGCCGCCCCCGAGCGCTCCACAGGCGCGCCGCCCGGCTCCAGCCCGCGCGCGGCCACTCCGAGCGCCCGGCCCGGCCCCGCCCCGCCTCCGCGGCGCCCCCGGCCCGGGCCAGCCCCCGCCCGTCCCGAGTAGGCGGCGCCGCGCCGGGGAGGATCCGAGGGGCGTCCCCGCCCCTGGGGCGCGGACACGCGCAAGACCCCACGTCACGCGTGTCCGCCGGGGCGCACGCAGGGGCTGCACGGCGGCAGTCAAGGTCCCTCCCTCCGATGCCCGGTGACTGTGTCTGGGGGCTCGGTCGGCTCGGGACGCGGCGGCGGCAGGTCACCCTCTACTCCAGCCGGGGCCCTGGGGCCAGCGGCAGCTGGTCATTGTTTGAGCACAAAGGGCCAAGGCGCGGTGGCGGCCGCCCCTCCCCCTCCTTTTCTCTAGTCGAGGCCTTCCCCCAGACACACTCTCCAGCTTCAGAGTCAAGGGGAGCCTGGGGTCAGCTGCCCCCTACTCTCCGGCTGCCTGGGCCCTGCGCCCCAGCACAAGTCGGGGGCCGAGGCTCTGTCCGTGCCTGCCCCACCCCCAGCGGGTCGGAGGCAGCACACTAGGCTCTGTGGAGGTGGCGCCACCTGGCGGCCTTCTCGGAGAACATACTCAGTCGTCCCCACCACGGGGACCCTGCTGGACTCCCCAGCACTGTGCGCTCTCCCCCGTGAAGCCAGGCCTGCCCCTGCGCCGGCCCTGGGATCCCCAACCTTCCCTCGGAGTCATTTGCTAAGGGAGAGGTCATTTCTCGGAGAGGGGCGGCCCCTGGCCCCCCAACAATCAGTGGGGTGAGCCAGTCCAGACCTACAGTCCAAATCCACACCGGCCTCACTGCAGACAACATTGTACTTTCTCAGGGTCACAAATATTCTCACCCTCTCACAAACAACACAATCTTAACACCCACACTACCTTTCCCACATTGAGTCTCATTGTGCAGCCAGTGTCATCTATCACGTGGGTCCATGTTTCTTCTTTCCATAATCTTCCAGTCCAACTCACACAAAGACCCACTCCGTGTCACACGCCTGTTGTGTATAGTCTTTCTCAGTTTGCAGTCCTTCACACCCAGCCACAGTCTTAAACACACTGACTTTGTATCCTGACCATCTTTCACACACTGACAGTCTTAGTCACTTAGACAACTTCTTACACATCCGCATCGTGTTTCACAAACACTTTACCACTCAGCCTTTCCCCCAGGGGTCTCTGTGGCCTGGTAAGGTCAGCTGATCCCCGTATCCCTGGGCAAGGGCAGCCTCTCTCCACCTAACGCCCCCACTCCCAGCCAAGGCCTGCCAGAGCTCGCCTTGGCCCCAGGAAGGAGCATCCCCCCTTCCAGGCCACAGCCCTGGCCGGCTCTCAGTTCTATTTTTAGCTCTATGGAAAGGGTTGTTTTTCTTTCTTTTTCCCTGGAAAGGGAAACACAGCCCAGCCACCCTCAGGCTCACCCCAGACCTTCAGCTTCACAAGAACAGATTGAGCCCCTCTCCCCGGTAGAGACCTCCTCCTCTGGCCTTGCTCTGATCCCTGCCTCCTGGGGCACCAAGAGCCGCCTCCCCCTTCTGGCAGCCTGCCCAGCTCAGGCAGCAGCTGGGCTCAGCGTGTGTGCAGGGGTGGGGAGTGGAGGGTGGGGGTGGGGGATGGGGAGCGGGGAGGGACGCACAGGGCTGCTGCCCACTCCCTCATTCCCTGGGGGGAGGGGGGCTCGTCCTACTTGCTACTAGAGGTGGGTAGGCCCTCTCCGGTATTGGGGTGTTTACACTCATGCATTCTCTTGGGGGAAAGGGGACTCCCACTCCTGCAAGGGGTGGAGGTGGTGGGTAGGAAGGGGACCCACAGGCGCTCAGGCAGCTGCTGCCTGGGCTGGGGATGGGGGCAGCTGTCTAGGGCCATCAAGGGTCTTTCCCATACCTTCAGGGATGCAGACACCAGGAATGTGTTCGAGAGAAGGAAAGCCAGGAGCCCAAGTCACCCCACCCTGGCCCACAGTCTTCCTTCTTCTTGCGCCACCCCGGCTCCAGGGGGCGTTGTGCTCCCGTTTCTGGGAGAGGGCTTATCACCGCTCCAGGCGGAGGATGGAATACAGTCCAGCATGGGACCAAGCAAACTCGCCCGAACTGTGGAGGGGGGTCCTCGCCCTGTGGTGGGGTTGGGCAGCACAGTCCACTAGTCTGCGGGGCGATCACGCGCCCGGCGCCTGTTTACGTCTCAGTCTTCACCTGCGGGCGGCCGGGAAGCAGGAATCTCCGGATGCGTCCCACCCGGCCCGCCCCCGTTGGCGGTCACGGGGCTGCTCCTCTCCCCCACCTCCGCCAACACGACAGCAGAGTGCCCTGCCCCCTGGGGGTCCTGCGCCGGTTGGCGCTGCCCCTGGGAGTGTAAGGATAAGCCACTGGGCGCATCCTTTCCGAGTGCACGTGTGTTCGTGTGTCCCAAGTGCGTGCGTGGGTCTGTGCACGCGTGTGTAAGGGACTGTCGATGTGAGTTTCTGTGTCGCTTCCCTGTTCAGACTCTTCTCCTGTGTCCCACCGAGGGGGGAGCCCCTGCTCACCTCAACCCCTAGATTCCCCAGATGCGGAAAGTTCGCTCCGGAGCAGGGATGTGTAGGAAGCAGGAGTTCGTGCACCTCCGCCGCCCCACCACTCACCCAGCGCCACCTGCGCCTCCGCTCCAGCTCCGGCCCAGCTCCTGCTCCAGCGCGCCCACCTCTTCGCCGCGAGAATGCCGGCTCCCCAGCCCGCTCCGGGCTCCGGGCTCCGGACTCCGGCTGCCCGCCAGGCCGGACCCGGTGGATCGGGGCGGGGCAGCTGAAGCCGCGCCCCCCACCCAGGGAGGGGAGTGGTCTGCCCAACACCCCCTCAACAGCAGACCCAGTACCCAGCCCAACAGTAGCTCGACGGTGGCCCGACGCTGTATCTCTGGCCTCTGACTTCATAGTTTACGGGGCTTGGCTTTCGACCTGGGGAAGGGGTGCTCAGCACGTGACCGGAGCTAAGCTACCTGGCTGCCCTATTTAGGCCGGCTATATAGGGCTTGACTCTGCCACCCTCCCCTGCTCTGTAGAGAGCCCAACCGGGCTAACTCTAAACCCACTCCAAACACAAGGAAAACTCCTGGGAAGCAGAGACAGTAGGATCGGGTTTCACCAAAACAGCTCCCACCACCACCATACACATACCTCGGCTGGGGGCTGCCCAAGCAGAACTGGCACCGCCCCCTTCCCTGGAGTAGGTGTTGGCACAGATGAGTAGGCCGGCCAGTTTTGGCCCCCCACATGGCATGGCTAGGCTTCCCTTAAACTCATAAAGTCCCACCCACAGGCACAAACAGGAAGTTGGCCTGTGTTGCAGGGAGGCACCAAGGGCTCCCTCCCTCCATGGCACTCAGAGCAGCCTGTGGAAACGCACAGGTCTACAGGTATCTGGGCCATATTTGCAGCCTGAGTACTTGGGCTGCAGGAGATCTTGGTGAGTTGTTTCTTCTCAGACCCATCCACAGTAGAGAGGAAGCTGCTGGAGGACCAAAGCTGCCCCCTCACAGCCAAGTATGATGCACAGACACTGTCAACCTGAGGACAGGGCTGCAGATCCACCTGCACCTGGCTTGGCCAGGCCCTTCCTGAGCTCTTAGGGAGATTCTTTTTTTTTTTTTTTTTTGAGACAGAGTTTCACTCTGTTGCCCCTGCTAGAGTGCCGTGGCGTCAGCCTAGCTCACAGCAACCTCAAACTCCTGGGCTCAAGCGATCCTCCTGCCTCAGCCTCCCGAGTAGCTGGGACTACAGGCATGCGCCACCATGCCCGGCTAATTTTTTCTATGTATTTTTAGTTGTCCAATTAATTTCTTTCTATTTTTAGTAGAGATGGGGTCTCGCTCTTGCTCAGGCTGGTTTTGAACTCCTGAGCTCAATCCACCCGCCTCGGCCTCCCAGAGAGCTAGGATTACAGGCGTGAGCCACCGCGCCTGGCCTTAGGGAGATTCTTTACAGCCAGTCAGACGTAGGCAGATTACCAGTCCTGTCCCAGGTCCTAGGGATCCTCCACTGCTTTCTAGGCTCCAGGGACTCCTGAACGTACTTTGGGCCAGATCTTGAGATTGGCAGTTTAAGGCAGGTATGGAGTGGAATGTTTGTGCAAGGGGTGGGGTCAGGGGTATTAACTTCCCCTCCCCGTCATCATTCTGGTTTGTGCTGTGTGGGGGTGTCTACTAGGAGAGTGGAGCAAGACAAACAGGCAAGTCTGTGTCTATCCCTCTATCCCCAATTCACAGAGACCTCACAAAGGTCCCCTACTGGGAACCCGTAAAGGATTTTCTGAGAACACACCACACATTCTAGGGAAACCAGAATGTGGAACCTGCATCCTTATAGGTAGTGATCTGTGGTGTGCGTCTGGGAAGGCATGTCTGACGTTCAGTGCTACAGACCCTGGATGAGGCCTACATCAGCCAACGGCTGGGAATGATTACTGCAGGATTAGGGAGGCCTGGCTCCAGCCAGTCTGGGAGAGACCCCCAAGAAGGGAGGCCCTGGAGGAGTTAACCCCACCCCCAGGTTCTTCAGCACAGAGAACAGCTTTGCAGCAGCTCTGCTCCAGGATCTGTTTCAGAAGATGTTTGTGGCCACAGTTCTCACACACTATAGACCAGAGACCAAAGACCCTTCTAAAGGGTCCCAAAAGTCCCCTTTTAGGTTGACAGCAAGACTTTGACAAGGCAGCCCTGATTCTAGGGAACAGGAAACCTTCCCCCAATCCTTACAAAAGGCTTCTTCCCAATCCCCTCAGAACACCTTGCATTCTCACTACTCTTTCAGGCAAATCCAAAGGGAAACTGGGACTTTAGGATATCAGAGGACAAGAGATGAGAAAGTGTCATCATTTAGGAATATTTCTGACAGGGTCTCTGGATCACCTATATTAGTCTCCTGCAAGGCCTGTTAGAAATGAGTATTATTGTACCCCTCCTCAAACCTCCAGAAATAGAAATGTTTATGTGTGATAGGATGGGGAGGGGGAAGGGGAGGGAATAGGGCCTGGATTCTGCATTTTTAACAAACCTGCAGTGTCCTGGCACACATTAGCATAAGAGAAATGTGGAGAAGGTACAGAAGGAGGAAAATGGTAAGGGGGCAGAGATAAGAATACGTGAAGTTTGAGTCCAAAAGGAGAGGGGAGTGGCTCACATCACAGAGGGACAGCTGGTCAGGCAGGGTTTGGGCATGTGGCCCAATGACCCATACCTCTGCCAGGAATCATATGGAGATCCTCAGGGAAGTTAGGGATGAAGACACACCATCTTGTCTCCCCTAGGCCATGAAGAGATGTATGGGGGAGATGGGGGTGTGCAAGCCCTTTAATGTCCCTGCTTCCTTGGAAGCCCACAGCTCAAAGGCTAGAAGTGGGGGAGGGGACCCATCCACTCCAAGTCAGAGGGAAAAACCCAGTTACAGACTGAGGAGACACCTGGTGGACAAATAGGAAAAAGCACACAAACAAAGGCAATAGAAAAATTTTTTTTTAGTAAAACTGGAAAAGGCTCTACAAAAAGTCCTAACTCCAGCTGTCTGTCTGATACAGCATACAGTAAAATCAGTGTCCAGGTGGCAGGCACTCTGGGCTCACAGCTTTCTCCATGGCTCTTATGGCCAAGCAATCCAGCAGGAGGTAGCTTCTACCTTTGAGGCCCAGAGATTATAGGGCTAAGCACCTAGGATCCAATTCTAGCAAGTGCTACCTCATGCCAGGCTCTACAATGCAGGGAGCAGAAGGGCTTGGAACCCACCAGGTCACCCTTTCGCTCTGAAAGCATGGCTGGGTTTTTGGCAATAAGTCCCCTACTTTCCTCCATGTTTAGGGGGTCTGACCTCATGTCCTTGAATTTGACTTGCTCATTCCTACCTCAGGGCTCTGTATTTACTCCTCTCTCTGCCTGGATCCCTCTTTCTCCAGATGTTCACCTGGCTCACTCCTAGTTCTTTAGGCCCCAGCTCGCATGCCCTCTGCTCAGAGAAACCTTTCTAGGCTACTTATCTCAACTACCCTGCAAGCGCTCTATCACATTACTGTTTTCTTTCTAGCATTTTTCACTAACTAAAACTATGTTTTGTTTATTTGTTCATTGCTTGCTTGTCTCTTCCACCAGAATGCAGGTTCTATGGAAGCAGTGACCTTATGTATCTTTTCAGTGCTGTGTATACAGGACCTTGAACAAAACCTGGCACACAGTAGGTTCTCAAATATCTGCTAAATTGAATTTTCTCGCTATGGAACCCTGCCTTAGGTTAGGCTCCCTCAGACTGAAAAGGGCCCGCAGCTCAGGACCACAGGACAGAGGAGCCCTAGCAGAGGGCCCAGAGAGTCTATGCCCAGCCTGTCCTATCAGGCTCATTTTAGCGGCCAGCTAGGCACAGCCTTCACCTTGAAGGCTTGGAGGTATCTGGCTGGTAGGGACTGGGGGCCTAGTCTGAGCAAGTCTCAGAGTTCTTGGGTGTAGCCCCTTTTTTGCCAGAAGATGGCTTTTTAGCCACTGGTCCATTGTCATCCTTGATCTTCTTAAGCCGGGACTTGCTCTTCGGTGGGATGGAGAAGGTGAGGGAGCTCTTGTTGAACTCAAGTGGGAAGACACCTATATCTCCATCAAAGCGGTTCTTGGCCACCTGCAAATACCGTTTCCCTGGCCCAGTCACCAGTTTCCTGTCCTGCAGGATCAGAATGTTGTCCGCTTCCTGGCTTGCCTAAGGGAAAGAGGGCAGAAGGAGGTAAGAGTTAGACATATGAGTGAAGCAGAAAGGAAGGTTGAGGGTGCAGGGAGAAGTGGTAAGAATGGGGAAAGGTCTTTGAACTACTGACTGCAATGCTGGGACCACTCACATCTTTTAGTGCCCCGACAACAAGGTTGCTGCTGTCTCAGACTTTGCACATGCTGTTCCCTCTCCTTCTCCTTCACCTTCACAGCTGGTTACCCCACTCAGTCTCAGTCTTCTCCTCATTCAGGTCTCAGTCCAAATGTCACACTTTACCAGAGAGACCATTCTTGATCTCCTTAAATAAAGCAAGCACCACTGTTTTTCTATTTCTGCATAATTCTTTCCCAACTCTATGTTTGTTCTAGTATGGCACATAGTTTGTGCTCCTTGTCCTGAATTCCTGTGCCCAGCCCAAGCCAGACATGTAATAGGCACTCAGCGTACCACTGGGAGCTCCAGAATGGGGCTGGTCCTGCTACCAGACGGCCCTCCCATTTATTTGATTATCTAATACCTATTGTCTGCCAAACCTCAACTCAACCTTTGTTGATACCTCCTCTGGGAAGTCTACCCAGATGTCCCAGCTGACTTGTATCTTTTCTCTTTGTTTCCCAAATACCTGTGCTGTCTATCATAGCTCTTCTAACACTGAGTTGCAATTACTATCTCATTGTTTCCCCCAAGAGAGCCTGTGAGCTCCTGAAGGGCAAGGAGGGCAAAGGACCAACTATTATGAAACTGTGTATTCCTAGCACACATATATTCCTCATGTGTATTGTGTATCATGTGTATCATGAAACTGTGTATTCCTAGCACACATACATTCCTCCTGCCTGCTCCAGATGGACAGTCAAGGCATGTGAAAAATGAGGACTACTCTACTCCACCTCAAACCTTTCTCAACATGATTTTAGGCTGAATGATGGCCACTCCTGTACTCTCGAAAGCTTGAGCTCTTCTAAAGGCCACTCACTTTGGCTGAGCCAAAAATGGATGCTGTCTGCAGTTCCTTGTCATCATCCTCTTTCCGGGGGTGAATGACCAGTGTCACATGGCAGCTACTATCTGTTGCAAACTTCCGAAAGGCCCCAACAATGTAGTCTTGAGCTGCAATCCTGTCCCCAGCAATGCAAAGAGGTTATCGACACAGGAGGACAAGAACATATACATATTCTTGATTCACTCATACCTCCCACAAACCACCACAACCCATTCCACCTCCCTCTACCCAAGGACTCACAGTCAAGTCCCTGTCCATACTTCCTGCTGCCACACCCCATACCTCCATATAATACGTGTGGGGTGGTATGTACCTGTACACATCCCAGAAAATAGGAGAGTACAGTGTGTGTGCCCAGAAGCCAGCTGCCTGACATGCAAGTTCAATTGGGTTCAAGCTAGACAAGAGGAGGATGTCACCTGTCTGTGGACAGCTGCTCCTGACCCATCATGAATTGCAGGTTGTCGATAACCACATGACAAATGTCATAGACATAGACTGCATGTTGCATTGTGTCTATTACAGTCCTAGGAAGAGGAAAGGGCAATGAATTCAAGAGTCAATTACAAGCTATCTCCAGACCACCCCAGGCAGAAGAGCTAGCATCCTGAGAACTCTCATGGCCGCCTATTCTGCTCTCCCAGACCTGTCTAAGGAGACCTAGAAGGAGTTCCCATTAGAGCTGGAAAAGCAACCAAAATTCCTGAGTGCTGGGATCTGTCTAGGAAAGCAAAGTAGCTGGAATGTGGGTGGGGGACGGGGATCTTACTTGATGCTCTGCTGCCCATGGAAAGTCATGAAATAGAGGGGCAGGTCTTCAAAGCGGTCGGCCCACTCATCATATTTGTCCAGTTGCTCTTCCAGCCTCCCCATAGCAAACTGTGTCAGCATGACCCGGGCTAGTCTCACATTGCTGATCTCAAAGCTACCCCATAGTGTGTTCACCCCCTGGGAACACAAATCCAGGGCATACTCGCTGATGAATGTCGTCTTTCCACTGCCTGTTGGCCCTGCAGGGGGGTGGAACAGGAACCTGGGTGAGGAGGAAGTCCCACCCTTGAAACCAAGACACAGGTCAGGGCTTCAAAGTTGGGAGGGGAAATCTCCTTTCAACATTTTTGCGGCCCAAATCCACATGCCTTTGTCACCTGATCCTCTGTCCCTTTACCCCAAGCAGTGATTTCCCAAAGGGTTACCTGTGAAGACTGTCAGCTCGCCCTTCCGATGCCCCTTTAAGAGACGACTGAGATCTGCGAAGCGGCTCCAGCGGACACCAGCTACCTGCTCCACATTTGACAGTTCTCCTAGCACCTCCTCCCGAAGCTGCCGGAAAGACACGATGGACTTGTGCCAGGCAGGCAGGGCAGAACGAAGAATACGAGAAAGATTTAAGCCTCGGTTCAATGCCTCCAGGGGACAGGGCTGATGGTCCCCAGGCCGCACCAAGGAGCATCGCTTGGGGTTCAGTTTTCGAGCAAACAATTTGGCAGCTTCCCAGGACCGAAGGTCATCCCCCAACCAGAATACAATACGTCGGAACTGTTCAAGGTAAGGGAGTAAGGCAGGGGGTAGGCAGGACGTTCCTCGGGGTAGGGCAAGGGTGGGCAGCCCCATGGACTGGTTCAAAGCCAGGCTGTCAAGCTCACGACTGGTCAGTACCACCTCAACATCTCGACGACTGATCAGTGGTAATCCGAACAGATTGCGGTAGGCACCAGGCCGGGGAATGGTGGTCTCCACGTAGTGCACTCCATTTCCCTGGCCTTCAGCCCCTAATAGCTTCAGGCCTAGTAATCTCAAGCTTCCAGGGGAGAACCAAGGGAAGACAAGGCTGCGAGCAGACCGCAGATACCGCACACTGAAACGCCTAAGTGTATCATCTGTAACCTTGTTAAGGCCAAACATTGTACGAGCCAGTTGTACCTCCTCTGGGTCAGGCAGCTCCCAGAGAGGTACAGCTCGGTCCCAGATCCTCTGGACCTCCTCAATGTCCTCAGCTTCTGGGGTCTTACTAAGCAGGACCCCGTCTCTGGTCCCATCCCCTCGTCCCTCCACACTGGCCTGGAAGTCTTCCCAGCTCCCCTCTGCTAGGCTGGTCATGCACAGAAAGCGGCCTGTGGTCTTGTCAATGAAGAGGCTGAAGGAATTGGTAACACCAGTCTGGTCCTTGAGCTGTGAAGACTCCACAAAGGGGCTTGGTGCCCGCAGGCAGCTGTGGCCATCCTGGAAGGGGATCCCATGACCCCGCAAATACTGGCGGATTTCAGTTGCAGTTACAGGCAATACTGGTACCTCCAAGGCTGGGAGAGCCTCCTTCCTGTACCGCCTGCGAGGAGGGCCTGGGACCAAGTTTCGGGGTAGGCCCCTCCGACCCATCCACACCCCACGGAGGGGCAGCAAGATGCGGAGGGGGTATCCACCTCGGAGAAGGACCCACATTACTAGCCAAATGTAGGAAGTCACTACTTGAAATGCCTTAGGTGCCTGGCTTGGGTGTCTTCACTAGGCCAGACCCTAGAGATGCTCCACACAGCACTCTACAGAGCTCACTCTGGGGGGCTTCTTTCTCTCCTCAAACATCTTCTTCATAAACATCCCCTGGATCCTCTTTAGACCCTCTACACTGCTACCTCACATCTATGCCCATCTACACCACCCTTTCATGTGTATGTCCCTCCAAAATGGCTCCCTTACCTCGATGGTCCTTTTACAGTTTCTCTCCACCACCAACTCACCTCTATGACCATCTACAGAACTCTACACAATTCCTCTCTGATACGGTTTCTCTATATCATCTCCTCACCTCTACTGCCCCTCTCCAGAATCTCCCCGTCATCCTCATCTCTACAGCCATCTGCATCCTTTTTGCAGTCCTTCTGCTCTAGGCCCCGACTGGAGACCCTCTTCGCTGCTCCTTCCCTCACTGGGACCTCTGCACGGCTAGAGCGCCACTGCACGACTCCGGCCGCTCTCCGAGCCCAAAGCAATGCCCACCTCGCTAGCCTCCCCGTGCCTTCCCTCCGCTCTACTGCTAGCAGCTCCGCAGCTCGGGACCCTGGCCCGGTGTGGTCACTGTCGTCTCGCCCTTCTCGCCCGCAACATGTATCACTCGAACACGCCACTCGCTTTGACCTCGGAAACAAAACTCCCCGGGAGCGGATGTCCGGGAACCGGAAGTCTTGAGGTTTAGTCCTGCCCACCACTCCTCGCCATTTGGCTCCGCGGCCTCAGAGCTACATCCATGACCGGGCGCGGGACTCCAAGCCGCTTCCTGACCAGTGTCCTTCACAACGGCCTGGGTCGCTATGTTCAGCAGCTGCAGCGTCTCAGCTTTAGCCTCAGTCGCGATGGGCCCTCTTCCCGCGGTGCCAGGTGAGGCGGAGGTGGTGCGCGGGCGGGGGTGGGGATAGTAACGACTCCCAGCGGAGGTCGCCCCGGGTCACGAGTCACAGTGCTCACCCTTCTCGGGTTCCTCAGGGAGTTCATGGAACGGGAGGTGACCGACTTCGCCCGACGGAACCCCGGGGTCGTAATGTACGTGAACCTGCGGCCCTGCTGCGTGCCCAGAGTAGTGGCCGAATACCGTGAGTGGGGCCGGGCTAGGGCTGGAGGGCGGGATCGGACCTCAGCCCGCTAGCCTCCTTATCTGACACCTGACAGGCCTACTCACTCCCCACCTCCCTTTTGCCAGTTAACGGGGCTGTGCGCGAGGAGAGCATGCACTGCAAGTCGGTCGAGGAGATCGTGACGCTAGTGCAGAAGTTGGCAGACCAGTCTGGCCTGGAGGTGATCCGCATCCGCAAGCCGTTCCACACGGACAGCCCTAGCATCCAGGGCCAGTGGCACCCCTTCACCAACAAACCTACCACGTTTGGTGGGCTGCGTCCCCGAGAAGTCCTGGATCCTGCCTCAGCCCAGGTGCAAGCACAGTGAAGAGTTGCCCCATCAACTCCAAACCCAGGCTTTGGACCCTTACTCCAGTAGAGCTGGTTCCTCCTCTTTGGGTTTCCAAGCCCAGGCAGACAAATGGAACCCCCACCAAAGGGGAAGTTGACACCAGAGGTTTTGCTTGGGCTAAAGAACAGCTGCCTCTTTCTTTTCGGTGCCCGTTTCTAGGGGCAGTAACCTTGTGAGTCCCCTAATTCTTACCCAGTGGCATCACTGAAACTTGAGCTGAGAGAGCCTTCAAGGGTTTTACAAGGGCCCTTGTTTTCTGAAATCCAAATTAGTAATAGTGATTTCAAAACACAATAAGGAATCTCAAGTCTGGCTTCTAAAGAATGTTTGATATCTTTTTGCTGCAACCATTGAGCTAGAGAGAGCTAGCTGTTCACTGCTGTGAGCCTGGCATTGGGCTATGCTCTTTACATCTGTGTGAATGTTTGCGTACAGATTAGAAAACTGAGGTTAATAAACTTACTCAAGGTCACACTTGAGGTCTTACTTCAAAATATGTGCATATTCTAAGCATAAGCCCTATTTTTCATTATTCTAAAACCATAAGCAGAACATATAACAACCCTTCAGGGTAGTTAGTATCAAAGGCCATGTGGTTAATCTAGGCCTGACTCCTGGAGGGAGTGATTCTCAGACCAGGTCCCTGGTAACAAGCTTTCCCTGGTCCCAGGTGCACAACTCCCCTCCCCCAGGCCCCTGTTTGTACAGAAATGATTCCATGTCTTCCCTTGGGCCAGTGGTTGGGGGATGCTGAAAAGCCTCTTAAGGAAGAGCAGGAGAGCTGATAAATAAGGCGTACGTTCTAGGCTTAGTTTCTAAAAGGGAGGGATGGTGAGGGAATGAGAGCCAGGAAGTAAAAATCTGGAAACTCTTGTATGAATTCTTGAACTGTTGTCATTTTCCTTGTTTGTCATGCCCTACCACCATGATCAATGAATAGCGTTAGCCTTAATAAAAGGGCCTTTGTGCCTGCCCAGGATAGCCAGGATAGAAGCTGATGATCCCAGTTTTCTCTGCAAGTGGTTTTATGGGGAGCAGAGCCAACCCTGGATGCAGAAATCACTGTAGCACCTTCTTTATAGGCTCAGGAGCCTATCCCTTGGTGATCAGGGGTAAGCTAGTCTAGACCAAGCAGACTACTCATAGCCATGGGGAAAGAAGGTATTTATTAACCAACACAGGGGGAGGAGCTGAGCCCAGGCTCCCCACTCTGTCACATGCCTCTTCCACCCACCTGGGTGGTGAGTGGGGCATTCCTAAAGAAGTATAGCCATTCTCACAATAAATACATTCATTGTGGGGTGGAGTTGGGAGAAGTTGGGTGAAGGGCAGTAAAAACCCGTGGGATTCCATGTTCTCAGCTACAAAAATAAGTCATCCTCACCCAAAGGGCATGGGGGAACTCAGGATTGATTGTCCCATGTGGGCCTAGAGACATCGGAGGCCCCTGGACCCTGAAAGTGCCCCGGTGAGGTAGGACAGGGGTGGGAGCCAAACATTCAAACTCCCAGCCTCTGCCCTTTGCATAGTTCCAAGAACGGGCTTCATGTGCCAGTTGAGACATCAGATCTTTCCTCCCTTCCCCTGCTGTGGTCTAGGGGAAACAAATGCTTGGTCTCCGAAAGGGAGGCTGGCTCACTGAGTGCAGCGTTGGTCATCCATCCTAGGGAAGGGTCTGTGGGGACAGCTAAATAGGAGGGGTATCTCCCTCTGAAATGTCCATGGACCAAACCTGACAGGTGGGTCTGAGGCAGCAAGAGGCGGCTCAGAAGGTGCATGTGAGTAGAAGTGTAAGCACATGTGCAATACAAGTTTGTTTTACCACATGTGCATGGGGAAGGACATGCCTGGAGGTCTGTCTCTCTCTTGAGAATGACCAAGGGGAGTGGGGAGGCTGACTCACAAAGGCTGCACAGGAAGGGAGAAGAGGGGAATGATGCAATCTTACCTCCCCAGGCTGGCCTGTTTTCAGGCTCTTGCCAAAGAAGTCACCACATGGAGCTGGGACTGGGAAGAGGACTAGAATGGGATGTGACAAGTTCAGAAAAAGGGATGAAAACAAGTACCAGGAGAAGGTGGGAGTGGGGACACTGCAGCCCAGCTGATAAAAACTATTCCATGTGCACATGTGAATGAATGCAGGGCTCAAGTGGCTGGCAGAGGTCTTGTCTGGCTTCAGGACCATCCAGCACACAGGGCCATGCAGAGGGTGGTGACATTGAGGCCATCTGGACCTGCAGAGCCCTGCCTGGGAGAAAGAGAAAGGGTTTGGGCAGATGAATGGGATAGGAGGATGGAGTCCTCTCCTCCCAAGTGTGTAGGTTAAGGGGATAGGAACTGGGTCTGGGTCTGCAGAGCACCTGGTCCTGAGGGAGCACCTACCTCTGAGGAGCACCGATGGGCCTGGGCTGCTCACGTGAGGGTCTGTGGAGACTGAGGAGGGGACTTTGGCTAGGCCTGACTCTGGCCAGCCCTACAGGGACACTAAAAAGTTGGGAGAAGGGCAAGGAGTGGGGGCTGTGAAGGTCGGGTGGCTGTGTTAGGAGGGCAGCTGCCCAGCCTGGGGTAGACAGCCTGGCTCGGAGGAGGCTGGGCTCAGACAGAGCTCTCATCTAGCTGCTCTACAAGTTGCGTGTGCTTCCTCTTCTCCAGGATGCGGCTGAGTTCCTCCGTGAAGGAGCAGGGCCCTGCTGGTACTCCATTGTTGCTCTGCCTCAGGAGTACGTAGCTGTTGCCATTCATCCTTCGCAGCCGGCTGGGCAGTGCCACCAGCCCATTGGTCAGCTCAGCCGGGGGCGGTGGGGGCGGTGGGGG